TCACTAGGGTAATAAGGTTATTTAGGCAGATATTTTAGGCTAGTAATTTTGTCCTTAAAATGGTGTTTAAAAAATTAAAAACTGCTTTTATTCTAGCCGAAATAAAACAAATAAGACTTTCTCCAGATGAACAAATTTTATCACACATACTGTGAACATTACCTGAATCTGTTCAACATCATTTAGGAAATATTTAAAAAAAGAAGAAAAGAATTTGAAGGGGGCAAATAATCCTGACTTCAACTGTATATGTTACAAACCTTTTTTTGGGTGTTTTGCTAGATCGGATGTGAATGCAGCCGGAAGTTAACAAGAATTATTTATGAAATTTCCAATTTACTGTGTTTTATAAACGTCTACGCCCACCCCAACTCTAAACCCAACCGTCACAGCAAGGTAAAAACAGTAGTTGTACAGAGTATAATTTATGTTATCTATTAAATTACCCAATACATTGTATTTTTTAACATCTACCCTTCAGCCCAACTGTCACAGTAATGTATAAATAAATAATTATTGTTATACAGTGCCATAATAAAATAATATAATATAAAATAATATTAATATTAATAATATTAATAAAATAAGACAGCGTATACGATCTAGACCAGTGGTTCTCTAACTTTTTTCACCAAGTACCACCTCAGAAAAAAATTGTCTCTCCAAGTACCGCCACAATGAGCAGTATTGAAATACAGCAGCAAATCGGGCCTGATTAAGCAGCTACAGCTCTGCACAGTTCAAAAACCTGGCAGATTATTTCTTATTATTATGAATATTATTTTTGTCAGCCCCTTTAAACATTATAAATAGTTTGAACATTAACACTGTACCCTGCTTACAGGTAAAAAGAAATGAACGGCACCGTTTAAATTAAAATGTGCTTTTAAACGTTAATTAAAAATTACGGCGGTTCTTAAAAAGTAAAAGAAAACTGCTGTGCTTAAGTGCAAAGTACCATCAAAAAGCATCCTATTCATCAAAACCTGTTTCTTGGACTTCATAAATATAGGCTATATGTCATCATATTTATATATATATATATAAACTCTTTTTGAGAAATTTTGAACTATATGATGCATGTACAGTTCAAGTCAGGATTATTAGCCCCCCCCTGTTTATTTCATTTCCAATTTCTGTTTAACGGAGAGCAGAGAGTTTTCAACACATTTCTAAACATAATAGTGTTAATAACTCATCTCTAATAACGGATTTATTTTATCTTAGGGTAACTAGGCAGGTTAGGGTAATTAGGCAAGTTATTGTATAATGATGGTTTGTTCTGTAGACTATCAAAAAAAATAGCATAAAGGGGCTAATAATATTGACCTTAAAATAAAAATAAATTAAAAAAAAATAAAAATTAAAAACTGCTTTTATTCTAGCCGAAATCACACAAATAAGACTTTCTCCAGAAGAAAAAATATTATCAGACACACTGTGAACATTTCCTGAATCTGTTCAACATCATTTGGGAAATATTTAAAAAAATAAAAACTCAAAGTGGGCGAATAATTCTGACTTCAACTGTACATACAGTATGACTTATTTCTATATCTTTGAAATCTAAACATTAACTTGTATTTCAGATATATGAATTGGATTTACATATTCAAATTAGAAATTCGATCTGCTTACTGCAGGTTAAAGCAGGCGTTCAGTGTCAGAAACGCAAGGGATTAAACTATACCTGGGATATAAAAATACAGGATACGCCCAACATCCGTTACAAATATTTGGAGGAAATTAGCTTCAAATGGTAGAATACATAACAAACACTAGAACATTAAAAATAAAAGATTTAGCCTATTAAAATCAACCTGATCGCAACGGTGTTATACAAAGGGTTAAAAGTGTATTCATTCATTCATTCATTCATTCATTCATTCATTTTCTTGTCGGCTTAGTCCCGTTATTAATCCGGGGTCGCCACAGCGGAATGAACCGCCAACTTATCCAGCAAGTTTTTACCCAGTGGATGCCCTTCCAGCTGCAACCCATCTCTGGGAAACACACATTCACACACACACACACACACACACACACACACACACACACACACACACACACTACGGACAATTTAGCCTACCCAATTGACCTGTACTGCATCTCTTTGGACTGTGGGGGAAACCGGAGCACCCGGAGGAAACCCACGCGAAGGCAGGGAGAACATGCAAACTCCACACAGAAACGCCAACTGAGCCGAGGATCGAACCAGCTACCTTCTTGCTGTGAGGTGACAGCACTACCTACTGCGCCACTGCCTCGCCCCGTGTGTTCATTTTTTAACTTTAATTATTAAGCGATTCCCCTAAGTACCACTAAAAGGAAGCCTGCACACCACTAGTGGTACACGTACCACAGTTTGAGAACCACTGATCTAGACTTTACCTATTTTTTGTGACCCTAGAGCAGGGGCCCAAACGTGGTCCTAAAGGGCTGGAGTCCTGCATAGTTTAGCTCCAACTTCCTTCAACACACCTGCCTGGAAGTTTTTAAGTATAGACTATTTTGAGGGATGTAAACAAAAAACATTGGTCCCAACGTATTCCCTGTTTTACATTTTTAATTTCTAGAGCTTCCGAGAATCCAACAAGAGCCTCATATTGATAGTGTTATGATTGCTGTTTTAACATGAAGATATGATTGAATTGCCTCTCGTTACAGTTCTGAAAGAGTTTGATACCAAGCAGGAAACATTCCAGCCTGATCTCACGAGGAAACGTAAGTATTTTACGTTTTGTCAGTTTAGTGGCTAATTCATACGAATTCGTATAATTTTAAAAAGGAGGCGTCGCACCCAACAACAACCCTAACCCCAACCGCCATTGGGTGATGAGCAAATCGTACTAAATTGTACAAATTAGATCGTACGGATTCATAAGAACTGGCCACTAAATCAAAAAGTTACGAATTGCGGTGAGATTGCGTTGAAGGTTTATGGGCCAATCTCATGACCACATTGAAATGGTCTACCTAAAAAGAGCTTGATTAGCTGCTTCAGGTGTGTTTAACTGGGGTTGGAACTAAAATATGCAGGACACCGGCCCTCCAGGATTGAGTTTGGGCACTAGAGCATAAAAAAAAGTATTTCATGAGTTAAAATGATTGATTTTTGTCAGAAATTATTAGGATATTACATTTACATTTAGTCATTTAGCAGACGCTTTTATCCAAAGCGACTTACAAATGAGGACAAGGAAGCAATTTACACAACTAAAGCAGGTCGCACACCAGAAGCGGCGCTCGGCGGCGCACCGCGCAGCGCCATGTATTTTAGAATTCTAAACATAGGTTTCTATCAGGATACACACACCGGCGCCGCAAGTCGGTGGCTGTCGGCGGCGACGGCTCAGGACGCAGTTCATTTTTCAGCCGCGCCACAGAGCGCCATGTGATTAGTTTCATGTTAAATATCATTCGAATGTGCGCGTCTGGTGTGTGATACTTTAAACTGTCATGTTTGCGCCGTGTCGCGGCGCCGAGCGGCGCTTCTGGTCTGCGACCTGCTTAAGAGCAACAATGAATAAGTGCTATAGGCAAGTTTCAGGTATGTAAAGTCTAAGAAGGGAAGTATTAGTAGTATTAGTGTTTTTTTTTTTGGGTACAGTTAGTGTGATATTCAGAGAGGCAATTGCAGATTAGGAAGTGTAGTGGAGACTAAATAGTTGAGTTTTTAGTGGTTTCTTGAAGACAGCGAGTGACTCTGCTGTTCTGATGCAGTTAGGGAGTTCATTCCACCAACTGGGCAGATTGAATGCGAGAGTTCGGGAAAGTGATTTCTTCCCTCTTTGGGATGGAACCACGAGGCGACGTTCATTCACAGAACGCAAGTTTCTGGAGGACACATACATCTGCAGAAGTGAGAGCAGATAAGGAGCAGCAAAGCCAGAAGTCGCTTTGTAAGCAAACATCAGAGCTTTGAATTTGATGCGAGCAGCAACTGGCAGCCAGTGCAAACGGATGAGCAGCGGAGTGACATGTGCTCTTTTAGGTTTATTGAAGACCACTCGTGCTGCTGCGTTCTGGAGCAGTTGAAGAGGCTTGATAGAGTTAGCTGGAAGCCCGGCTAGTAGAGAGTTGCAGTAATCCAGTCTGGAGAGAACAAGAGCTTGAACAAGGAGTTGAGCTGCATGTTCAGATAGGAAGGGTCGGATCTTTCTGATGTTATAGAGTGCGAATCTGCAAGATCGAGCAGTTCTAGAAATGTGGTCAGAGAAGTTTAGTTGGTCATCAATCGTTACTCCAAGGCTTTTCACCATTTTGGATGCAGTAATGGTTGCCCCGTCCATCTGGATTGAAAAGTTATGGTGTAGAGTCGAGTTGGCAGAAACTACAAGCATTTCCGTTTTCGTGAGGTTAAGCTGAAGATGATGATCTGTCATCCAGTGTGAAATATCCAACAGGCAGGCTGAGATGCGAGCTGGAACCGAGGGATCATCAGGATAAAAAGAGAGCAAAGCAAAGATCATGTTTCATAAAGATGTTTTGTGCATTTACTACCGTAAATATATAAAAAATCACTTCTTTATTAGTAATATGCACTGCTGAGAGCAAAAAGGCGATTTTCTCAATATTTTGATCTTCATGACTGGTTTTGTGCTCCAGGGTCACTTGTAAACATGAGCATTGAAGTGTTTATTTATATATATTTATATAAAAATAGCCAACTGACCCAGCTGAGACTCAAACCAGCGACCTTCTTGCTGTGAGGCACCCTATAACTATTCATTTTTAATATAAACACACTGAGGTCAGCTTTGTTGATATTAGTTTACAGTGCATTAACTAGTGTGACTCATTCTGAAAGCATTCAGGAGTACGGGTCATGTTAGTGTTAACAATGAAAGCCTGCTGTAAGTCTTCATATCTTTATCTTTGATACTCGTTGGCAGGGCATTAAAGGAGAACTTCACCTTACTGACAGATTTATATGCATCTCTGTCATTATTGATTGATTGATTGATTGATTTACACTCGTTCTTTCCAGACCGGCAGGCTGCTGTCATTGGGTTTATTTATCTTCAAATGGGGATTTTGAAGCACTTTTTACATATAAATAATACACAATTTGCCTCATGTGTTCATTTAAACACACGCACACTGGTTTTGGTGGGGACTCTCCATAGGTATAATCTGTTTTATACGGTGAAAATGCGAACATGAATACTGTTATTGTGTTTTTAACCAGTTTTGAATTACGAGGACATAAGGCATGTCCTCATAAACCATCTCAATGTTGTAATACCTATTATATACACACTTCTGTCCTTGTAAACCACCAAAACCAGTATACACACACACACACACTAAATCATTCATAAACACTCTAACACACTCACAAACACATAAAAGCAAACACACACACATACTAACAAACACACACACACAAACACACACACACACTCAAACACTTACACACTCACAAACACGTAGAAACACACACACACACACACACACACACACACACACACACACACACACACACACATTGAATCACTCATAACACACTCACAAACACAAAAAACACCTAAACACTCTCAAACAAACACACACACACACACACACACACACTCAGACACAAACACACTCAGAAACAAACACACACTCTAACACTCAAACTCACACACAAACACACACACAAACAATCACACACAAAAACACTCACATATTCAAACACATTATCAAACAAACACACACACACAAACACACACACACTCTAACACTCAAACTAACACACTCCAATCAAACTCAAACAAACACACAAACACACACACACTAAAACAATCACACACACTCACAAACACTCACCTATTCAAACACATTCTCAAACAAACACACACACACTAAAACAATCTCACACACTCACATATTCATACACATTCTCAAACAAACACACACACACACACACACACACACACACACACACAAACACACAAACACAAGCACTCAAACTCACACACTTCAATCAACCAAACAAACACACACACACACTAATACAATAACACACACTCACAAATTCAAACACATTCTCAAACAAACACACACACGCATGCATACTCCAACACTCATAAACACACACTGTCACACTCTCTAACACACACAGTTGTTCAGACAGAGTGCATGGGCGTCCCGCAGTATTTGTGCCACAGATCGATGGCTTTGGTGACGATGGCGTCCGTGTTTTCCTGCGGCATCTGTGGACAGACGGAAATCTTTATGTCTGCGCTCACAAACAGCAGATTGTGTGTTTGTGTATGTGTATGTGTGTGTGTGTGTGTGTGTGTGTGTGCGTAGGATCAAAAAGTTAGTCTGATTTCTATTCATTTAATTTTTCACACATAACTAGTGATGTTTTAGTATAATAAAATAATCATGTGATCTGTGTGTTCATATAGTGCATTTATCATGTATGGCCATACACCCTTCACAATCACGAGGGTTGATTCACAATCACACGACCACCAGTGTGCAGCTCCACTTGGATGATGCAACAGCAGGCACAGGACTACAGCACCAGTGCTTCACCACACACCAGCTGCAGGGGCAGTGGAGAGACAGTGATTGAGCCAATGGGAATGATTGAGAGGATGATGGGTAAGAGCTGATTGAGGGACTTTGGCCAGGACACCGGGGTTACACCCCTACTCTTTACCAGAAGTGCCATGGGATTATTAATGAGCACAGAGAGTCAGGACCTCTTGCTGATAGTATGGTGTCCCCTTCACTTTACTGGGGTGTTATGTCTCACACAGACCACAGGTTGAGCGCCCTCTGCTGGCCTCTCTAACACCTCTGGCAATAGCAACCTTGTTTTCCCATGTAGTCTCCCATCCAGTTACTGACCAGGCTCAGCCCTGCTCAGCTTCAGTGAGTAACCGCTCCTGGCCTGCAGGGCAATATGGCTGTGGCTAAAAATTATTATTATTATTATAAATTAAAATATCAGATTCTTGTTCCACAATAATAATAAAAACCCTACATAAAAGTAATGAATCGATGAAATTAATGAAATACTTTGTGATGGACTTAAGCCGAAGTGTTGTTCAACTGAATAACTTATATTTACTTTAACTTAAAGCTTTTATAGATGCCAATTTAATTGATTTGTTTTACCTTTTATTTCTCATCATAGTTTAACTTGTCGTTGCCAAGCTGTAACCTCCCGCTCTCCCTTAGAAGCCAATACGGATTAACTGAAACTGCAGTTCATCGAAATTTACAGCCTTAAAAAAGATACTACTTTGATACAAAGAACGATTTTGGTTCATATAGCTAATATTACTCTTCATGACTCCTGTGAGGGGGGGTGATTTTTTTTATAACTCGTCTGTTTCCTTTATATTAGGTTATATTAAGTTTGCATAATTAAAGGCGTGGCCACTTGATTGACAGCTAGGTCTCACTGGTCGCCGTCACTTCACCTCAGCTGATTCTGGCTGATTAGCTGAACTCTGCATTTTCATTTGTGTTGTTTCATGTGGCTTTACAGTCAGTTGCCTTTTGCAGGCATCTTTAGCTCCGCCTCTTTGCCCTTGTTTGGTATTCCCCGGATGTGTGATGATGCAAGAACAAAATGGTGACGGTTGGCCACGCCTACTGGTATCTTCTTTTGCGTTCTTCATAAACCTATGAGTGACGTCACGGATACTACATTCATGTCTTTTACAGTCTATGGTTGTTGTGTGATTTTGAAATGTTTTTCTTATTTTTATATATAAAAAAAACACAAGGAGAGCACCAACTCTACTTATGTTTTTTAAATAAATAAATCCCCCAATATATATATATATATATATATATATATATATATATATATATATATATATATATATATATATATATACACACTCACAACAGTTCTGTCTGGTTCTTGAATCTGATTGGCTGATAGGCGTGCAATATTTTGCCAGTAACATCACACAAAGTCCTCCGCCCACATACAGCCAGCAACACGCAGAGAGACGCTACAGTTTGACAAATATTACAGCTGTTAGACAACATAATGCACTTTTGAGGCTTTTTTAGTGGAGAATGCAGTTGTTTAGATTGCAACTATGCAGTTTATTTGTAGGAATAGTGCCTATTTTAAAATATTTTTCATTTCTAAGAGAGATCGCCGATGGCCATTAGCTGGCCATAGTGTAGTAGACCAAAGACAGTCGACGTTTTCAATCCACAAGATGGCGACAGAACTGCATAATAAGCTTTTACGCCTGCTTTTCACTGCACACGACAAACAACAAGCGTCAGACCGGAAGTCATTCATTTTCAATGGAGAGCAGTCCGGGAGCTGCGTTGAGTTCCGATCATCTCCGTAGGTGGAAATTTGGATCCGAATTGAGCTGTGGATCCGTTGAAATATTTGAACTCTTGCGACTAAACCGTATGCGACCTGCCGACCGGATATGATGTATTCCAGTGTTTTCCAAGCAGATCCGTGCGCGCGAGATGAAAAATAGAAGTTTATTTGGTTATTTTTTTGAATTATAAAAAGTCTGTATTAAAAAAAAAAAAACTTCTATTCATAAATGTAAGTAAAAAAGTAATAAAAATATTTATTTTTAATGTTGCCTCCACATTCCCTCCAATATTTTAGCGGCCTATGAGTTTCTAGTATTTATTCATTCATGTAAACGCACAGAGAATAAAGGCTATTGCTTTTGCACTCCCTTTTTCGGACACCGTGAAATCAGCTTCTCACCCATCGTGCACGACAACACTGAAAATACTGTGCAGCTGCCAGAAGGGGGCGTATTCCGACAGTCGTGTCCAAATGTCGTGTGCAGTGGAAAGGCGGCTTTACACTTAGAAGATTTTAACAGTCTGATTTCTAACTACAGCAGATCAAATCATTATTAAACTGGTAAGCATACCTGCCAACACTCACGTTTTTCATATGAGTATCCCGTATTTCAGACCAATCTCCTGCAACCATGCCGTTTTTTATTCTTTCTGGGAAAGTCCTGTAATTCCACCCATATATATGAAATTTCCTGTTTGGTACAGTCTGCAAACACCACCGGGTTGTCAACTTTGGTACAGTACCCGATAACAGCGGCCGCCCAAAACCTGCTGCATCCTATCCCAGTTCTCAACACTGTAATTCAGCGACCTCACCTTCGAACACTCCCTCCCCCCGGTCTCTCAGATTTTCAGAGGCATGTTGGCAGGTATGCTGGTAAGTGATATTCTAAGTCGATCTCTCTCTTTTGTATGTTGTAGTGCTGTATTTATACTGATATGCTCGCATATCAGGAATGTGTGTTGGCAAAAAAGAAAGCAGCAGTGTCCACATGTGTTTAGCGTTTTTCCTTATCGCAAACACAACAGCAGTCTTGCAACAGAGAAATACTGTGGACTGTAATAATGTCGGGAGATATCTCTGTAGACTAATGGCATTTCATGCTGTTCAGCCTTATAATCTTAAAGTATAAGCAAAATCAGCTGTTTTGTCATCACTTTAGACATTACGCTAGAGAGTCATTCAAACACTGGCTCTAAAGTGACGTGTATATATATATATATATATATATATATATATATATATATATATATATATATATATATATATATATATATATATATATATATATATATATATATATATATATATATATATATATATATATATATATATATATATATATATATATATATGTATGTATATTTATTTATTTTTTGTAAAAAAAACGTACACGATGACACGACAAAAAATATGTACATCTTGAGGAAAGAGTAACATGGTTTCAGATTAATTAGCAGTGTTAATTACGCTATATTAAACCTCAAACATTTATTTAAAGGTCCTGTGAAGTGCTTTGAAATGTGCATTTTTAATTTGATGTTTGACGTAATCTCAACTGAGACATGAAGAGAGGGCGGGGCATAAAGTAGCTCCTCCCCTTTCCAAAAAATTAACCAATATGGTTGAGTTTTTCTCACAGCTCTGTCAGTGAGAGTGGTTGAGCTCAAGCGCATCAAATAAACAGCCAATGAGAAGAAGGGGGAGGGGCATGTCAGACACTAGAGAGCATTTGATTGGTCCGAAGATTTGATGAGATACTGGATTATGAGGTGACGTGAAAAAAAAAAACTGTTGATCCATTTAGGCGAAATTGACAAACTACAAGCTTTACATGTTTAAATCAGTTTTATATCTTCTAAACGCAAATTTGTCATTGTTTTGGAGCACACTAGATTATACATATCCTTAAGACTAACAGACTGAAAATAACATCTAAAAAACTAAATCTATGTGAATTTGATGGGACCTGTAAACCTAAGCACTTCTGCTGATGATAAATCAGTGTATGGATCTTACGGGTTGTTTGTGCACTCACGTTAGACAGGAAGTGGTAAATTGCGTCCGGCTGGTTCATTCCCATTATCACGATCTTATGGCTGAGCAGAATCTCCACAGCTACAAACACCAGGATCTTACAGGAGCCGCTGATGACTTTATCCCACACCCTGTGGCCAATCAGAGAGCAGCACAGTCAAACAACCAGCCGATCACAGAGCAGCGTAGTCAAACAACCAGCCAACCACAGAGCAGCACAGTCAAACAACCAGCCAATCACAGAGCAGCACAGTAAAACAATAAGCCAATCACAGAGCAGCACAGTAAAACAACTGCAATATTAGTATGTTGACTAGTTAGTGAGTTGGCTAGTCAGAGAGTTAGTTAGTAAAGTCACTTATTAGAGTAAGTTAGTGAGTTGGCTACTTAGAGTAGTGAGTTGGCTAGCTAGTAAGTTGACTAGTTAGGGAGGTAGTAAGGTGACTAATTAGTAAGTAAGTGAACTGGCTAGTTAGTGTAGTGAGCTGGCTAGTCAGGGAGTTAGTTAGTAAAGTCACTTATTAGAGTAAGTTTGTGAGTTGGCTAGCTAGTAAGTTGGCAAGTTAGGGAGTTAGTAAGGTGACTAATTAGTAAGTTAGTGAGTTGGCTAGTTAGTATAGCGAGTTAGTAAGTTGACTAGTTAGTGAGTTGGCTAGCTAGTGAGTTGGTCAGTTGGCTAGTTAGTGAGTTACTGATTTAGTTAGTGAGTTAGTGAGTGTACAGAGTTAGTAAGTTGATTAGTTAGTGAGTTTTCTAGTTAGTGTAGTGAATTGGCTAGCTAGTGAGTTAGTTGGCTAGTTAGTGTAGTGAGTTGGCTAGTTAGTGAGTTACTGATTTAGTGAGGTAATAAGATGGCTAAATGGTAAGTTGGCTAGTTAAGTGGGTTATTGTAGTGAGTAAATGATTTAGTAAGTTAGTAAGTTGACTAGTTAGTGTGGTGAGTTGGCAAACTAGTAAGTTGGCTAGTTAGGGAGTTATTGAGTTAGTAAAGTGACTAATTAGTAGGTTAGTGAGTTGGCTAGTTAGTATAGCGTTAGTAAGTTGACTAGTTAGTGAGTTGGCTAGCTAGTGAGTTGGTCAGTTGGCTAGTTAGTGAGTTACTGATTTAGTTAGTGAGTTAATAAGATGGCTAGTTAGTGATTGTAGTGATTGTTAGTGGTGTACTGAGTTTGTTGGTTAGTTAGTTGGCTAATTAGGGAGTCAGTGAGTTTGCAAGGGGACTAATCAGTAAATTAGTGAGTTGGGTAGTTAGTTTAGTGAGTTGGCTGGCTAGTGAGTTAGTCAGTTGGCTAGTTAATATAGGGAGTTGGCTAGTTAGTAAGTTGATTAGTTAGTGAGTTGGCTAGTGAGTTGGTTATTTAGTTAGTAAGTTGACTAGTTAATGAGTTAGAGAGCTGGCTAGTTAGTGTAGTGCAGGGGTCACCAACATGGTGCCCACGGGCACCAGGTAGCCCGTGAGGATCACATGTGTTGCCCGCAGGCCTGTTCTAAAAATAGCTCACTATAGCGCCACTTACCAGTAAGCTTCATCTAATATAGAAGTAATCATTTAAAAATGTAAATATTTGCAGAGATATATAAAAATAAAGTGTTGCACATTGATACATTAAATACAGGGTATTTTATAACCTGTTAAATCATCATTGATAACTTTTATGAGAATCATTAACATGATCAGTGTCTTCACATGGATGAATATCATTAATTATTTCCAAAAACATAAAGCATAATTAAAAGTAAATTGAGCAAATTTGTTATTTGAGAAGTGTTTATCAAACTGGTAGCCCTCCACATTAATCGATACTAAAGAAGTAGCTCTCAGTTTCATAAAGGTTGGTGACCCCTGGTGTAGTGAGTTGGTTGGTTAGTGAGTTAGTTATCTAGTTAGTAAGTTGACTAGTTTGTGAGAGGACTAGTTAGTAAGTTGGCTAGTGAGTTAGTACGCTAACTAGTTATCGAGTTAGTGAGTTGGTTAGTGAGTAGTAGGTTGACTAGTGAGTTGGCTAGTTAGTGAGTAGGTTAGTTGTCCATTTAGTGAGTTGGCTTGTGCTTGTTTAGTTAGCGAGCATGTTGTAAACTCTGTAGGCTGGACTCTGGTAAACAGCCGGCGAAGCTATTTGAAGTTGACTTTTTACTGAGTGGCTAGTGAGTTGACTAGTTACCAAGTTAGTTATGTAGTTAGTGAGTTAGTAAGTTGACTAGTTAATGAGTTAGTGAGTTGGCTAGTTAGTGTAGTGAGTTGGTTAGTTAGTCAGTTAATGATTATTGTTAGTAAGTTGAGTAGTTAGTAGGTTGATTAGTTAGAGAGTTGGCTAGTGAGTAGGTTAGACAGTTAGTTAAGTAAGTTGACTACTGATTTAGATAATGAGTTAGTAAGTTGACTAGTTAATTAGTTAGTGAGCTGGCTAGTTAGTGTAGTGAGTTGGTTGGTTAACAAGTTTGTGATTCAGTTAGTGAGTTAGTAAGTTGACTAGTAAGCTGACTAGTTATTGAGTTGGCTAGTATGTTGGTTTGTGAGTTAGTTAGTAAGTTGACTAGTTATCGAGTAAGTGAACTGGCTAGTTAGTGTAGTGAGTTGGTTGGTTAGTGAGCTAGTGATTTAGTTAGTGTGGTAGTAAGCTGACTAGTTAGTAAGTTGGCTAGTGACTTGTATGGTAAGTTGACTAGTTATTGAGTTATTAAGTTAGTGAGTCGGTTAGTAAGTTAGTAGATTGACTAGTAAGTTAGTGCGCTAGTTAGTGAGCAGGTTAGTTGTCTATTTAGTGAGTTGTATAGTTAGTGAGCAGGTTGTGACCTTTGTAGGCTGGACTCTGGTAAGCAGCCGGCGAAGCAGCGTCTGAACCACAGTGAGTACGGTAGTAAAGCCAGAGCTCCAGACGCCTTCAGGTGAGACAGCAGACACACATCCTCCTGAGACAGGAAGTGCTCCAGACTCTTCGGCTGAAAGATATTCACAAACAACAATCAACCAGTTTTGGGGGACATTTAATGTGATTTTTGTTGAATTCTGTATCTGTAAAAAAGTAATACAACCTGTTCTGCATGGTACTGGATGAGTTTACATGAATAAGTAACTATTTAACTATTTATTCTTAATTTTATTATCACAAAAAGCATTTGGTAATAAATATCACAAATCATTAATAAACAAACAAACACAATGAGAGAATGTACAGGTGAGCATGTACCAGGTGAGGGATGGAGTCTCCAAACTTGTGCTTGAACTGGTTGATGAAGCATCTGACGAGCCAGAAACAGTCCACCGGGTCATCCACGATCTCCTCCATCGCTCGAGCGATCGCCAGGAAGTTTTCATCCTCCGCATCCTGGAGAATTAAAAGCATCAAACACACTGAGACTGGGGGAAGCATCTCGTTACCCACACCCCCTAAAGCACAAATCAAGCAGATGTGATATAGCTGAAGTGCTCACGGGCGGCCGCAGCTCGGTCCTGCGGGGCAGCGTGTGGTTCTCCAGCTGGAACATGCGCAGGTAGATCTCTGTCTGCGGTGTGGAGGCGTGGATGAAGCGCATGACGGTCAGAGCGCAGCTCACGTCCTCAAACTGATCCACACGATACTGACGCACCAGAGCATGAGAGTCACTGTGAGGAGGCAGAATCCCTGAGAACACACAAACACACACTTATATACCGGCCAATATTGCAATGCCTGCAAGTCATACCCATGTCATATACACATTTCGGTCCTTGTAAACCACCAACACTAGAACACTCACAAACACAATAAAATCTCTTAAAAAAACACACTAACACACTTACAAAAACAAACACACACTCTTATAGTTGCAGATGTGAAATGTTGTTGTGCTGATTGTAAAAGGCCGACTTATTTACGGTGGCAATGCTGACCTGCTAGCCTATTATTTTTTCCACTTAAAAATGTTATAAAAGTTTCTTTTTTGTTATAAATAGATTTTGTTAACACATATTTTTCTCATTAAGACGAGATAATTCTCATATAAGGGCCGGTTATAGGCTATACATTTATTTTTGGTTAGAATGTTTTAAATGAAACAACCTTTGTTTTGACATCACATGCAAGCATTAGGTTGCTTTACTGCACACTTTACTGGAAAGAAAGTTTTAATATTGTTAAAACCCTAATACTTCCACTTCCTGAAGTTATACCGCGAATCAATTCAAGTGAGGGAGGCATTAATACAGCTGTTCAATTTGCACAGTTTAATAAGTTATAGTCTCTTAAAATAAAAATGACCTATTAATATTATCTGAAAGGAGGCAATGCTGCACAAACACCCTGATGACCATCCCGTGTCTTTTAAAAACAGACTACATCAAGTCCGTACGTCATCACCCTGCTACAGTGGGTCTATCCATAATTTCATACAGCCATGTGCAAATATAGCAGCAGATTTTAATACAAACATTGAAATTATTTAAAAAATAGCCTATCGCTAAATATATACAGTTGAAGTCAGGATTATTCGCCCCCCTTTGAATTTTTTTTCCTTTTCTTTTTTTAATATTTCCCAAATGAGATTTGACAGAGCACGGAAATGTTCACAGTATGTCTGATAATATTTGTTCTTCTGGAGAAAGTCTTATTTGTTTTATTTGGGCTAGAATAAAAGCAGTTTTTAATTTTTTAAACACCATTTTAAGGTCAATATTATTAGCCCCTTTAAGCATTTTTTTCTTTGATAGGTTACAGAACAAACCATCATTACACAATAACTTGCCCAATTACCCTAACCTGCCTAGTTAACCTAGTTAAGCCTTTAAATGTCACTTTAAGCTGTATAGAAGTGTCTTGAAGAATATCTAGTCTAATATTATTTACTGTCATCATGACAAAGAGAAAATAAATCAGTTATTAGAGATGAGTTATTAAAACTATTATGAAATGTGTTGAAGAAATCTGCTCTCCGTTAAACAGAAATTGGGTGAATAAAATAAACAAGGGGGGCTAATATATCTGACTTCAACTGTATATAAGTGAAATGCAGATTTCTGAAAGCAATAATACCCTACTCAAATATGCTGATGACATGGCCGTGGTTGGACTTATGGTCAAACATGTTGCGAGTTGACATGGTGCGAGGAGAGTGCTTTGTCAATGAATGCTTTGAAAACGAATGAACTAATTATTAATAGGGAAGGGCAGCCTATACATCATCATCCAGTTACTATTGAGGGTCAACATGTGGAGATTGTAAACAGTTTTAAGTACTTGGGGATCATTTTAAATAGTTTAAATGTTGGTAAACATGCAGACTATATTTATAACAGGGGTGTCCAAACTCTGTCCTGGAGGGCCGGTGTCCTGGAGAGTTTAGCTCTCACCCTAATCAAACACACCTGAACAAGCTATTCAAGCTCTAACTAGATATACTAGAAACTTTCTGGCAGGTGTGTTGAAGAAAGTTGGAGCTAAACTCAGCAGGACACCGGCCCTCCAGAACTGAGTTTGGACACCCCTGATCTATAAGAAGGCAACACAGAGACTCTTTCTCTTAAAGAAATTAAATCGTTTTAGTGTTAGTAAAGGTATTGTAAGAATTGAAATATTACAAATATTTTGATATCATTGACAATTCAAAACATGAGCTAAAAACAGACTGTTGACTCCACAAACCAGCAGGTGGGAATGCGGGAAAAACCAGTTCCTGCTGCATTTGCATCTGAGTCTGCTGAAACTCGGCTTCATCCACCCCATCTCACACATATGGTCATTTCAATGTTTGAATGTTCTAGATTAACCAAAGTGACTTTATCTATCATGTTTGATATCATTTGAAATGTGTCAGTGTGACTGGTACAATGGTCTCATTCTCTCAGAAATAGACATAATCAAAACAATAAATATATAACTTCAGGCATCTTTTGAACCACTGTGAAGGGTGTGACTTTTCCACAGGCAGCACTAAATGCAAATACCTTATGTTATGCACACACCCCCTTCCTTGAGGGAATTCTTGGATTAATTAAGGTAAGGTTTGAGAAAGACTCAGGGCGATTCTGCCTACCCAGATCAGCCCGTAACATGGAGCCTGCTCCTAGTTATGTAAAATTTGTAGTCAGGTATGCATCTTTCATCTTGGATTTATCTTTGATAATTTGGTGTTTTGTATTGATCATTTATGAATTGACTGATTGAATTGGCATAATACATTTACCTGACTAATAAATTGTAATGTTTGACCATATTTTGCTCACTCTGTAATTATTAGTTCTAGTAGATTATGCTGTATCCTTGTTTCCGCACGTCTTGCGTCAGGTCAGTAGACGGACTAGAATCCAGTTGAGATGGAGCATTGGGCACACTAATTGTGTTTTAGGGATCCGACTGACTCTTGATATTGATTAAAGTGTACTTAGGTGGAAAGGGCGTTATCTTCCGTCTAGGTCAACAAGGTGTTGCACGACTAACCTAGATTGGGTACCCGACCTTTGTTTGAAGGTAATATTATTTTGAATTAAGTTCATATGGGAAACCATGGGCTTGGTGAAAACCAAAGTTACTATAGAGTCCAGTAGTCGGGTACATTTATATTAATGCCCTAACCTCTAATTAGAAATGATATTGTCTTAACTCAAGGGTGTACACCTAAGCGGGACTAACTAAAGTATTTTAGAACGAGCGAGCTGGTAGTGGCCATCTAAAGTATTAGTCAATTACCTCTGTTTAATATTCAAGACTGACCGGAGTGTGACCGTGAGGGACGCCTTCGGCCGAGGCGATTTCTCTGAGCGACATGAGCACCCGAATGAACGGATGTGATAGTTACTAGTGAAGACAAACGGTTCAAACATTTATCTAAATTACATGTTGATATAATCTTCTTAATGTTTTATGATTGGAGTCAGATAAAACAAGGATAAATATATTAATATTCTAAACCACCTCATATTAAAATTGGAGTCAGATATGAGCTAAGTTTAATATAAATCAACATTGTGCACTGGAAAGACCGAACATGCAGTGAACCTTCATCCACCAGTGGATACCGTCATTGGACCAACTGGGTGGACCCTACAGTATTATGAGGAAGATTTCTACCAGTCTGGTTCAAAGTATTATCTCCTCCAATATTTCTTGCTGGTATTAAAATCTTGGAGCCAGAAGCAAGTATAAACTTGCAAAGATTGTTAACACGCCTAGTAAGATCTTAATGGACCCCCAGAAGCAGCTTGTGGAACTGTACATAAACCAGACCAGACGGAAAGCCTCGGAGATAGTTCAGGACTCAACTCATCCTCTTTATTAGGAATTTGAAGAGCTTCCTTTTGGTAGACAGAGTACCCACAGCAAAAACAAATATTTTTGAAGAAATCATTTAAAATTTTATATCGTCTGCTTTTACCGTATTGAATAAGAACCCGTTTACACTGTCAGGTCTTGATGCCCAATTCCGCTTTGTTGCCTGTATCTGACTTGTTTGCCTGTCTGTTTACACGTTGTTTTAATTGTGACCCATATCCAATTCATGCGTTTACACTTGCCATACCATTTATGATGTTGCGCATGCATGAAGGCGGGTTCCAGCATCTGTGCCACACTAGCCACCATGGAAGAAATTGTCTTGTTTTTAGCTCTGTGAAATATGTAAAGTGTAGTATAAGCAGAGAGTGGTTCAATCCAGATTTACCCCCACGCAGTTTATGTAATGGTATGGCCCTGATGTGTGTGTGTGTGGTTGAAGATGCAGCCTTTGCCTGTGTGCGCACTGCTGTTGGAGAGAATATTCTATGTGTAGCCCACAGTGTGTGTGTTAAAGAGCCCATATTATGGGTTTTTAAAAATTCCCCTCCATGTAGTGTGTAACACAGCTCTAAGTGAAGTGAAGTATCCAGCTAAGGCTTAAATCTGTTAGTGTACAGTGTTTAAAACGGTTGATTCATCTATAAAAGAGTTGACTCATAGTGCTTCAAACGAGTCGCCTTAATACCGATTCATTAGGTGTTTCGCCATGACGTACGAACGAAACCAAGTCATTCACGTGCACGCGCAAACCCGGGAGATTTCAAACCTGAGGCCCCGCCCTCTGACGCTGAAACCCAGACACACACACCCCCCCACAAACACACACACAAACATGCCGGTCAATTCAAGTCAAACTGCAGATGGATATTATATTGAGTCTCTACCCAAAGATGAAACATCAGCATTATAAGCAGTTGGAAACTTCTGGAAACTACATGCTACAAAGAATACTTCATCAGCGTTTGTTAAAGGAAGGATCAGTAAAGAGTAACTTACTGATGGACGTCAGGATGGATTTTTCTTCCTCCATTTCTCAAGTGTAAGTACGTGCGATTAAAGTTGTTGCCTAGTTGACTCGAGCTTGCAAATGTATTTAGTTGTGATTTGTTACTTGTACTGTCTCAGGTTAACTCGCTATATTCTCTTATCGCGTGCAAAGTCATGTTAAAAACGTGACGCGTGCTGCTTTGTTTATGGAGCTCCGTGGAGGAGTAGTGTGTGTGCAAGGACGAGGGCAATGTGTGTGTGTGTGTGTGTGTGTGTGTGTGTCTGTGTCTGTGAAAAGAGCAGAGTGAGACAAGCTATGTGATCTCCTCGACAGTTTTTGCTCAATAAAATAGTCAGTCGTCTGAATTTTCAAGTCCATTGTCTGTATTTATATTGACCCACTGGCAGCTAAACTCCACGCCTACACTATCGAGCGTGTATGAACTGTGATTCCTTTTATATTGCTGATTAGCTGTTGGGCATTTAACTCTCTGACTGAAGGCAGTCGACCAATCGCAACAGACTGTCATTGGTCCAATCAGCGCAGATTAGCTTCGCACTAAGGAGGGGTTTGGGAACAATTGAATCACTGGACGATTCATACGGGAGTCGCTGGGATAATTAGGTAAAAATAAATGCAGATTATAAGACCACGAAAGTGTTTTTTGACCTTGCATGCATGTTAGACTGTTGTTGGAGACCCTTACAACCAAGATATGACCCTATTTCATGTATAATATGGGCTCTTTAATAGCGACAAAAAGCAAAAGTTACAACTCGAAGTTGGCCCAACTTTAAAATGATTTTGAGGCGGAGGTGGGAAAGAGCCGTCATCGCAGCTTGCGCTTATGGTTTATACGCTTTATGATGTCCTCCACCACTCAGAGGAATGTGTGGGTACGAGAGAGATCTCAGGTCTGGTGGGAGCAAATTGTGGCGACTGACCACTTTCCTCCTCTGATGTTGTTTACCGCGTCGGCATCTCCACACACGCTCTTCCTTCTGTCATTAAACCATGGAGATGCAGCACATTGTCACAAGTTTAATGATGTGCAGAATGAAATGCTGATCTGATAAATCCGATCTGCCTGTTTACATGAGAGTCGCATTGCCACATATCTGATCTATATCTGATTTATTTCCACATATGAAGGAGGCCTGAAACCCATCTCTGAATATCTGAATGCATGTGCTTTATTCGTGTTTACACACTCATAGAACAGATCCGATCTGTGTCACACATGAGCAAAATATCAGAATTGGGTCACATTTAACTGGCGGTGTAAACGGGGCCTGAATGACCATGAAGTGGTCTGTATGTCCAGGGTTGTGTGTTGGTAATCTGGAAGCTTTGTGTTTGTGTTTGTGATGTTTGCCTGGCCAAAAAGGAATTTCCACATGTGTGGACAATAAAGATTTCAATTCAATTTGGAAACAGATCTGCTCATTAACATTCTCACCCAGCAAGACTTTCCACACGTGGATGCGGTACATGGAGGGCAGAGGAAACCTCTGGCTGAAGGTGCTCAGCTTCTCCACATCTGAAACATCAACCACAACAAGGATGAAACAACAAATCCACTGCTACTAGTATGTTAATAATATCAGAAGCAGTTGCAACATGATGACAGCACATAATATAAGACTAGATATTCTTAAAGACACTAGTATTCAGCTTAAAGTGACATTTAAAGGCTTCACTAGGGTAATTAGCGTAAAGTTAGGGTAATTAGGCAAGTCATTGTATAACAGTGGTTTGTTCTGGAGACAATCCAAAACTAATATTGCGTAAGGGGGCTAATAATATTGAGCTTAAAATGGGTCTAAAACAATTAAAAACTGCTTTTATTCTAGCAGAAATAAAACAAATAAGACTTTCTCCAGAAGAAAAAACATTATAGGAAATACTGGAATTCCTGAATCTGTTCAACATCATTTGGGAAATATTGGAAAATGAATACAAAATTTTACAGGAAGGCAAACAATTTAGTCTTGAGTTCTGATGTGGCTGTAAGTCAGTAGTGGTGCGTCTCACCCAGAGGGTTGTCCTTCAGCAGGATCTCCAGTGATTTCTTCTCCTCCACTCCTCTGAAACCCACTTTCTCATAATACGCCGAGCGGAAGTTTCTCTGAGGATCATCAGCCATGATCACTGACAGGAGACTGAAACACCACAGCACAAGCACAGATTACTACATTACATCAGGATTTACTATATTAAACACAGTTCACCATATTAAAATCACAGTATACCATATTACATCACTGTTTACCATATTAAATCACAGTTTACCATATTACAGCACATTTCACCATATTAAATCACAGTTTACCATATTACATCACTGTTTACCATATTAAAATCATAGTTTACCATATTACATCACAGTTTATCACATTAAGTCACAGTTTATCATATTAAATCACAGTTACCATATTAAATCACTGTTTACCATATTACATTACTGTTTACCATATTACATTACTGTTTACCATATTACATTACTGTTTACCATATTAAATCACAGATTACCATATTAAGTCCCAGTTTACTATATTAAGTCACAGTTTACTATATTAAGTCACAGTTTACCATATTAAGTCACAGTTTACCATAATAAATCACTGTTTACCATATTAAATCACAGATTACCATATAAAGTCACAGTTTACCATATTAAATCAGTTTACCATATTACATCACTGTTTACCATATTACATCACAATTTACCATATCAAATCACCATTTACATAATAAAATCATCCTTTACCATATTAAATCACAGTTTACCATATTATTAAATCCCAATGTACCATATTAAATCATCATTTACCATTAAATCATTATCATTTACCATATAAATCAACATTATTTACCATATCAATCACTGTTTACCATACTAAAACACAATTTACCGTGCTAAATCATCACCGTTTACCATATTAAATCACAATTTACCATATTAAATAAGTTTACCAAACTAAATCATCATCGTTTACCATATTAAATAACCATATATCATGATAAATCACTGCTTACCATATTAAATCACAATTAACCATATTAAATCATCACTGTTTACCACATTAAATCATGTTTACCATATTAAATCACAATTTACCATATTAAATCATCACTGTTTACCACATTAAATCATGTTTACCATATTAAATCACAATTAACCATATTAAATCATCACTGTTTACCACATTAAATCATGTTTACCATATTAAATCACAATTTACCATATTAAATCATCACTGTTTACCACATTAAATCATGTTTACCATACTAAATCACAGTTTATCATATTAAATTACAGTTTGCCATTTTAATCAGTTTACCAAACTAAATCATTTACATTTGGTCATTTAGCAGATGCTTTTATCCAAAGCGACTTACAAATGAGGACAAGGAAGCAATTTACACAACTATAAGAGCAACAATGAATAAGTGCTGTAGGCAAGTTTCAGGTGTGTAAAGTGTAAGATGCAGAACATTAGTAATTTATTATTTTTTTTGTAATACAGTTAGTGGTGGAGCCAGAGAGGCAATTGCAGATTAGGAAGGAAAGTGGAGACTAAATAGTTGAGTTTTTAGTGGTTTCTTGAAGACAGCGAGTGACTCTGCCGTTCTGATGCAGTTATGGAGTTCATTCCACCAACTGGGCAGATTGAATGCGAGAGTTCGGGAAAGGGATTTCTTCCCTCTTTGGGATGGAACCACGAGGCGACGTTCATTCACAGAACGCAAGTTTCTGGAGGACACATACATCTGCAGAAGTGAGAGCAGATAAGGAGCAAAGCCAGAAGTCGCTTTGTAAGCAAACATCAGAGCTTTGAATTTGATGCGAGCAGCAACTGGCAGCCAGTGCAAACGGATGAGCAGCGGAGTGACATGTGCTCTTTTAGGTTCATTAAAGACCACTCGTGCTGCTGCGTTCTGAAGCAGCTGAAGAGATTTGATAGAGTTAGCTGGAAGCCCGGCTAGTAGAGAGTTGCAATAGTCCAGTCTGGAGAGAACAAGAGATAGAACAAGGAGTTGAGCTGCATGTTCAGATAAGAAGGGTCGGATCTTTCTGATGTTATAGAGTGCGAATCTGCAAGATCGAGCAGTTCTAGAGATGTGGTCAGAGAAGTTTAGTTGGTCATCAATTGTTACTCCAAGGCTTTTCACCGTTTTGAATGCAGTAATGGTTGCCCTGTCCATCTGGATTGAAAAGTTATGGTGTAGAATTGGGTTGGCAGAAACTTCAAGCATTTTCGTTTTCGCGAGGTTAAGCTGAAGATGATGATCTGTAAATCTTCACCGTTTACCATATTAAGTCACAAATTACCATATTAAGTAGAGAGAAAAACAGCCTATCAGAGGTTTTCGCTCACTCATAGTGTTTTAAAGACCAAATGTTTGCACCTCGACAGTTTTTAGTCTAAATTAGAATTAATTCGATCTGAAAAATATCTTTTACCTGTTTATTTCAACATCACTAAATAAATGAATGGCTCAAAAACATAATTAATTTAAAAATCTGTTTTCTAATATCGTATTACGAAATATCGTAATCAAAACGCTCAACAACATTGCATATTTTAACAGCATCTCACAACCCTTATTATTTCCCAATAATTCAACAGACAGTTATTCAAAGTATTCTCCTTATACTACAGTTTTTCACACCTATATACACTGCTGAGATGTGGTATTTGAAGAGTTCTTGAACCACACTATAGTAAAGTACTTGAATTAATCTGTTGTGATGATTTTATAGTAACTATGGTAAAACAAAAACTACAGTTTATGTATGTATGTATGCATGTATATATATATATATATATATATATATATATATATACATACATACATTTATATATATATACATGCATCCATAAACTGTAGTTTTTGTTTTACCATAGTTACTATATATTTACATTCATATATATTTACAGTGCATCCGGAAAGTATTGATGTCGCTTCACATTTTCCACATTTGTTCATGTTACAGCCTTATTCCAGACTGGATTAAATTAATTGATTTCCTCAACCTTATACACACAATCCCCCATAATGACAATGTGAACAAAGAGCTTTTGAAATTGTTGCAAATTTATTAAAAAATAAAAAGCTGTAAAATCACATGTGCATCAGTATTCACAGGCTTTGCTTAATACTCTGTTGATGCACGTTTGTCAGTGATTACAGCCTCAAGTCTTTCTGAATATGATGCACAATCTCTGCACACCTGTCTTTGGGAATGTTTGCCCGTTCCTCTTTGCAGTACCTCTTAAGCTCTATCAGGTTGAATGGGAAGCGACAGTTTACAGGCATTTTCAGATCTCTCCAGAAATGTTCAATAGGATTCAGGTCTGGGCTCTGGCTGGGTCACGCAATGTCACACGAGTAGCAGTGCAATATGGCTATGGACCCTAAGGTAGTCAGCTTGTGGCTTCAAGCCAACGCAAGCCTCCTACCAGTGACTAAATACAGCCATATCACACTGCTACTTGTGTGATATTGCTCATATACAGTAAACAAATGACCTACCCAATACTATAGCGCAGTGGTACTCAAACTGTGGTACGTGTACCACTAGTGGTGCGCAAACTTACTTCTAGTGGTACATGGAGGAATCACTGAGTAACGAAAGAAAAAATGAATACAACTTTAATCATTAGATGCGTACGATAACACCAATGTGATCAGCATTGGCTGTTCTCTAAAGCTTACGATCAAAGCGATGTGTTTCAAATGTTTACTTTAGTGCATCGCGTTTTCAGCTGCTAAAAATCAATTCAATTGGGGCAGAACTATAGAAAGAGGTGCGTTGTGCTTGCAGAGCATGCTGGAGCAGTGGTCCCCAACCCATGGGCCACATACCGGCACCAGTCAATAGATCAATTGGTAGCCGGCCGCACAAAAATATGAAAAAATCATGAATTTCCGTTTTATTTATAATCTAAATAAAGTCTGAACGATCTTTTTTTTTTTAAAAATCTTTTGTTTTAAAAAATGAGCGTATATTCTTGTTACATCTCGGTCACTTGAGTGCCAGAATTGAACCCACAGGCTAGTAAAACGAGTAAAAACTGCAGCACGACGCGCTTGCGTATTCCAGGTGTCCCCAGTTGAAAACATCTTAACTTTTCAGAATGCTGCACTGCGAGTCACGTGATGATAACCGACTGATCGGCTTCAAATTTTGTATGGAATACAATTTCGTTGAATGAATATGACACTGCCTGGTTTTCGAATTTTGCAGTGCTGTAGCTGCTTAATTTGGCCAACTTCGCTAAATTATTTTAATACTGGTGATAATGGTGGTACTTGGAAAGACATTTTTTTTTCCTGAGGTGGTACTTGGTGAAAATAGTTTGAGAACCAATGCTATAGGGTATATTATACTACAATACGCCACAGTTTACTGTAGTAAAAACTAAAGTGCACTACAATGTTACAGTTTATCTAATACTCAATAGTAAAGTATGCTAGAGCGTTCATTCCCTGCTGAAAAATTCAGCTTAAACCAGCCTAGGCTGGTTGGCTGGTTTTAGCTGGTCGACCAGCCTGGTTTTAGAGGGGTTTTGGCCATTTCCAGGCTGGTTTCCAGCCATTTCCAGCCTGGTCTTAGCTGGTCAGGCTGGGAGATGACCAGCTAAAACCAGCTTGACCAGCCTAGCCAAAACCAGCTATGCCCAGCTTAAACCAGGCTGGTCAAGCTGGTTTAGCTGGTCATTTTCCAGCCTGACCAGCTAAGACCAGGCTGGAAATGGCTAGAAACCAGCCTAGAAATGGCCAAAACCCCTTTAAAACCAGGCTGGTCGACCAGCTTAAACCAGCCAACCAGCTTAGGCTGGTTTAAGCCGGATTTTTCAGCAGGGTTAACAGAGTTGTAAATAAACACTACAATATAATAAACTTTTATTTATTAAAAGTTTATTTATTAAAAATATTATTTATTATAAATTACTATAGTATTTTTTTATGTGGGCAGAATCTATCAATTCCCCACATACATACATAACTATAATAATTAAACTTTATAATAAAATAATGTTTAAATAAGAACTACAACCCAAACACGAACATTTCACGACAAGCTGGTCACAACAGTCCTCGTTAACTGCAGTAAAATCACGGTACACATCTGTAAGTCGAATCTGCAGTGTTTGTATATGAATACAGTGCTTTAATCGTGTAACATGATAGTTTATATTCGTGTTTATAGCTGAACTCACCGGGCCTCAAGCGGGTTTCCTCAAGCGTCAGTCAAAACAACCTTTCACCAGTCAAACATCACACTGTAGATCACGTCCACATTGTTAGCATCTTTAACTCTCAAACACAACACTATAAACGCGTGTGTGTGTCTGTAAAAGCCGCTGTCTGCAGGACTGTGTGTGTTTTCTGCCCTGTGCACTCGGAAGTGATTCTCGTCCTCATGTTGTTGTAATTCTGCTTGAGTCCAGCAGGAGGCGAGCGCGCGGTAAAATCTAAATGGGATACAGATGCGGATACTCGCGTCAATATAGCATATTTTTGTGACACTGTACAAGAATAATTAATATTTTTTTGCATTACCGTGAGGGTACATTACTTCTAGCAGCAATCACAGCACAGCATGCGACTGGTTGTTAGAAGAGATAACAGTTACAGCCGCAGATCGAAGCGAAAACATAAAGGCACTTTGATGTAGAGTAAACGTTTTCAGATAACGAGAATTGTTTTTATTATTTATTAATTTATCCATTAATTGTATGTTATTAACGTCTACCCTCACAGTAATGTAAAAATATTATGTATTGCTGTACAGTGTTACAAAACGATGCCTGCGTATCAGCAGCTGTATCCCATCTAGACTTCACCGTGGCGAACGAGCCGTACAATCTTAGAAGGGATACAGCTGCGGACACCTTCATCAATTAAGCATCATTTTTTGTGACACTGTACAACAATAATTAATATTTTACATTACGGTGAGGGTTGGGGTAAGAGTAGCTAAAAAATATTATTTATTTGGTCAGTTAACGAATAATATGAATAAGACTCGGTATAATTACTGTTTTATATTACTGTGATGGTTAGGTTAAGGGTTTAGGTGGGCTATATGTTAATAAAATGTAGTTTAATAGGTCATTTAACAAATAATATGAACAAGACTGTATAATGACTGATTTTACATTACTGTGATTGTTATATTATGGTGGGCTATATGTTAATAAAATGCCATTTAATGAGTAATTTAACAAATAACATGAATAAGACTCTGTATAATGACTGATTTTACATTACTGTGATGGTTAGGTTAAGGGTTTAGGTGGTGTGTATGTTTATAAAATGCCATTTAATGGGTAATTTAACAAATAACACGAATAAGACTCGGTATAATGACTGATTTTACATTACTGTGATGGTTAGGTGAAGGGTTTAGGTGGGGTATATGCTAATAAAAAGCAGTTTAATGGGTAATTTAACAACATGAATAAGACTCGGTATAATGACTGATGACTGATTACTGTGATGGTTAGGATAAGGGGTAAATGTTAATAAAATGCCAATAATTATCAAACAATTAAATGGGTAATTTATTAAATAATATAAATAATTACTGTCTGGCGATGGTTCGAGCTCTGACTGTGTCAGTTAGTATTTCTGTGTGGAGTTTGCATGTTCTCCCCGTGTTGGCGTGGGTTTCCTCCGGTTTCCCCCACAAGTTCAAAAACATGCGGTGCAGGTGAATTGTATATGCTAAAAATTGACCGTAGTGCATGAGTGTGTATGGGTGTTTCCCAGTGATGAGTTGCAGCTGGAAGGGTATCCGCTGCGTAAAACACATGCTGGATAAGTTGGCGGTTCATTCCGCTGTGGCGACCCCAGATTAATAAAGGGGCTAAGCTGAAAAGAAAATGAATGAAACAATTCCCGTCCACAGCTGTCTCACTTCTAGGAACAACCGGTGCACTTACAGGCGAAAGCACTGGCTATTTTTTACTATTAAGTGGACAAATGCCATTATTCACCTGATTTTCTATTTAAAGTTATGAGGCTTAAATACTGCCCTTTTAGTGATATGTTTTTCTGGATTAGCTTGTCAGATGGTCATCATAACAACACTTTTTTTTTTCTAACAAAATATTTCCTAAAGATTTAGAATAAATAAATATGAACAAAAAATTACTAATTTTTAAAATACAATTTTATTATCTTATATAATTAGGGGAAAAAATATGAATCTATTAAAGTTTTAAATTAAAACCATTTGTCAGTCAAATAACAAACTGGCACAGCACATGCAACTTTCCTCAGTCAGAAGTTAAAGTTGGCCATTTGAATAATAAAAAATCTACACATAATAATATTGTACAGCTTCACAATTTTTCTAGCCTTTCTTCTAAAAAAAGAAAAGAAGTAAATTTGACAAATAATAGAAGACGACACTAGCCTAATTAGTATTAAAATTAACTTTATTATGGGTTGCATTTGGTGCTTCACCTCTTTTATCAGTCTTTTTTAATTGAGCTGAAGTTTAGTTTCATAAATAAGATCCTAAATTTAGAGTAAAAGTTAATAGTAAAGTGTTTGTTCCATTTAAGAACAATAAAGCAGGTCAGTAGTAAAAGATGACGTCACGCACATCAGATTGTATGTTTCTCGCACAGCTGGATGCTGATTAGCTGAAGCCAGCAGAGGATCCCGCTAGGTCTTAAAGCCTTCTTCGATGATCATTTTAACAATTCATGACAGCATTGCAGTCAAAATAGGACAAATTAGCTTTATGTACGGGACAAATTCTATAGCCAATCATTTATTTAAGTGCATTTAAACAAAACAGTTTTATTAAACAGTTATATCCATTAAAATAAGAGTTTGGTCACTGAACATCTGACATTTTTGGACTGTGATACAACTTTTTTTTAGATTAGCTTCAGCTTTGGCTTCAGTACTGGGAGTAAATATATTATTTTTAAAGCATCCTATAGAAAATATTCAGTTAGAAAAGAGATCTGAGAAATGTGAATAGATTTTTGTTTAGAACTAATAGTTGAAGTCAAAATTATTCTCCGTCCTGTGAGAAAATTACAGAGAATTTTTGTATTCATTTTCCAATATTTCCCAAATGATGTTGAACAGATTCAGGAATTTTTCACAGTATTTTCTCTAATATTTGTTTTCTTCTGGAGAAAGTCTTATTTGTTTTATTTCAGCTAGAATAAAAGCCATTTTAAGGTCAATATTATTAGCCCCCTTCAGCAATATTAGTTTTGGATTGTCTCCAGAACAAACTACTGTTATACAATGACTTGCCTAATTACCCTAATTACCCTAGTGAAGCCTTTAATGTCACTTTAAGCTGAATACTAGTGTCTTGAAGAATATCTAGTCTTATATTATGTGCTGTCATCATGTCAAAGAGAAAACAAATCACTTATTAGAAATGAGTTATTAAAACTATCAGCAATGTGTTTAGAAAAAAATCATAACTCATTTTCCAATTATATATAATAATAATACTTGGCATTAATACTTGTGAAATATCCCTGAGATCTTTCAATACCTACTCTTCCTCCCAACAGTTAAAATATATGGTGCATATTTGACAGGTAAAACACTGTGCAGCAGAACTCATTCAGAATTAGCCAAGATTGATAATAGGAATAATATAAATATAACATCTAATTTAAAATGCATTTAAGCTTCTAGTGTATGTTCCAGAAGCTGGCACTTAAGAGATGGGCTGATTTAATGATTAATTGTAAGTTGTAACCACTAATAAAAAATGTTTAATGTAAAATTTGTAAACATTGTAAAGCCAGGCCTGGAGTGTAAATGACTGGCTCTGTTTGTTCACACATACAAAAAAAAGCACACCATGGTAATAATCCCTCAACTGAGTCATAAATGTCTTTATTCAAGCAGTAAAACTGTAAGAAACAAAGTCAGACTGTTAGATATTAACTGCACACAGGTTAATACAGAGTTAAAGGCACTTGAGAATTTCAGGAAAAATAATCATCAAAATTAGTGTAAAAAGAGGCAAGTGATATAGATTTACCCATCTAATCTTACAAACAACTTACATCTATTTATTGAATAAAATTGAGAAACAGATTAAGCCCCAGAATGACTAAACAGGCCGAATTAAAAACATATTTCTGGATCAATACATTCAACATAATTTAGGAAAAACAACTATTTTTGCAGATGCTAGAATAAAAACAAGTGTATTTCTTTAGAAACCCATTGATATTTTCAGTAACGTTATCGATTTCTATCAAATACTATAATGATAAATGCAGTGGGGGAAATAAGTGTTGAACATGTCATGTTTTTTCCTGGGAATAGTGTTTTTTAAGTTGCTGTCGACACGGCACTGAACAGGATTTTGGTAAAATCCCAAACAAAACATATATAAAGAAGTACTGAACTACAGAAATGCATTTAATACTTTATATAATGGCCTATTCCCACTGAGTGGTACAGGGCAGTATGGGTCAATACACTTTTATGCCCATTTCCACAGTCAAAAGGTACTAAAAAGTGAACCGTACCACTTTCCAAAGGTTGCCTAGCACAACAAAAGGGTACCAAAAGGCTGAGCCAGACACACAGCTGAACGCTATTGGTTTACGAAAAAACATCACTAGAGCATGCACAAGCCAGGAGAATGAAAACAAAGGAAGCACCATTTTTAAATACACAGCCGAGACATTACACCTTAATAATATTCACATATAATAACGAGCCATGGTCGACCCAAGCTCAAACAAACCTTGTCATCGACTTGATGAACAGCCAAAAAGCCAAGAAGAAGAGCAGAATCTGCCATGTGTCCTGTTATTGTTTACGAAGCCCTCTAAGCGCGAGTGGTTTCTCTAGAGAGCTTGCCGCATGTCTACATTTGAATTAACGAACTTGATAAACAAACGAGTCATGGTCGACCCAAGCTTATAATCGTCTTGATGAACAGCCACAAAGCCAAGAAGAAGAGCAGAAGTTTGTCCTGTTGTTCTTTACGAGGCCCTGTTAGTGTGAGTGGTTGCCTTTTCTCTAGAGAGCTTGCTGCACATCTATTTTGAATGAACAAACTTGAGCTCATGATAATAAAGTGGACGCGATGATTCTCACATCCTTTCAGAAACGGACAAACGCCACAGTGAAGCATGAAAAACAAAATAGCAAATGTTTCTTTCAGCGACCTAAAAGATAAACAAACTGCCATGTTTAACTAATATCATCATATGACGTCAGAATGACGGAGTTACTTTTTAACAAGATGTTAACGTTACATGTGCTGGTGAAGAATAAAGTCGAGAGGTTTGTACGGACTGTATATGTGTCGTATCGTTTATAAACCGAAATAAGGCCTAAATGCATGTTTTGGCTATTTTCTTTGTTGTAATTGGTAACACTTTAGATTTTAGAGACTGCAAGTCTTTGTATGCGTTCATAAATATTTTATTTATTTATTTAATATAATTGCAGACGTTACAGTCGGCCAGGGATCACCAAACTTGTTCCAGGAGGTCCGGTGTCCTGCACATTTTAGCTCCAACCCTAATCAAATACACCCGAACAAGCTAATCATGGTCTTACTTGGTCTACTTGAAACACCCGAAGGTGTGTTGAGGCAAGTTGGAGCTAAACCCTGCAGGGCACTGGACCTCCAGGAACAAGATTGGGGACCCCTGCAGTAGGCCTTCGAGTGAGAATGACACCGATTGCAACTTTCTGTCTTACACCACGCCTACTAAAAGGGTACCATTAGTACCCTTTAGCAGTGGAGACACAAGCCTGATGAAGGTGACCTGTACCGAACCATAACGTACTGTACCAATCAGTGGAAATAAGGCATTTGAGGGCTCTTTTGGTGATGGCAGCCTAAAAACGTTACATGCATATATGCATGTATATTTCTTTGGCTGTTGCCAACATCTTTAGAAATATATTTTTTTAGAAAAATGGTAATGTTTTCAATACTTATTTCCCCCACTGTAATTGCTGCATAGTTTAGGAGAGTGATCTGCTGCTGAAAGACGTTCTGCTGTAGCTGAAGCTGCTGTATCTGGAAGATGAAGATGGGGATAAACTGTAATCTACGCTGCCTCTGCGGGATCCGCTCCGAGATCCCGAGGCTGATCCTGGATTGGAGAGATTGTAGGGGCTGCTGATTCCACGGGATGAAACTGTAGCGGCCGGAAGCATCCGGACACCAGTGTTTTCCTCATTCATGCAAGCTTCCATAGCCTCCTTGTAGGATATCCTCAGCTTGGTTTTAGGGCAGGTCAGGGTCTTCGGGTGGTGGCGAGTATCCTGGAGCCTCTGAGCCGCTCTCATATCCAGCCAACCCATCTGCAAGGCCTCCTCAAGTGAGCGTCTGCACCCAAGCTCAGGGTCGAAGAGACCTCCGGTTAAGTATTGAAATTCAAGAAAGCGTTGGCCAGCTTCATACGGCAGCCACTTCTCTTTGACAGCCTCTGCAGCAGACATCTTACGTTTGGTTTTCACATCTTCAAATCCAATATACGCCTTCTGTGCAGGTTTTATTCGGTTAGCCATTTCGTCATCCAGAACACCGACTCTGGTCGCCTCCTGAATAGACATACGACGACCATTATCAGGGCTTACAATCCCACCGGTACAAGCTTGTGCCTCTAAAAGTCGTTGTGCAGTGATGGAATCAATCATTCCTCGCTTAAGGGCGTCACAAACAGTGATTTTCTCCAGCTTTTCAGTGTCAAAGATCGCTCCAACTGGATTCTGTTCTTCAATCGATTCTACTAATGGGGATAGTTTGACTGACATGCTGGAAATGTGCTTGGAGGAGTTTGCTGAGGATTGATCTTGCTGAAGGTACTCTGAGGTGCTCTCAATGCTTTTTATGGTTTCAGTTTTGACTATTTGGCTTTTCGTTGTTGTCTGGGATGTAAATGATGATGATGATGATGATAATGATGAAGAGGAGGAGGAGCTAACAGGATTAGTTAGCATCTTTGTCTTCTTGGTGATCATACCAGCCAACTCTGTAACAGATATACCTCCGGAACGATATTTATTGAATACATCTTGGTCAATCACTCCTTGAGCGAGCAATTCTTTCAGGTTGTACTGAATGCCGGTTTGCATGTCCATTATAGCAGTACTGGTTGAGCCATCCGGGGCAGTGATGGTCGTTTCTTCCCACTCACACTCTTGCTGAGATAATTCCAGAAAGGTCTCGTAGTCTATGAGTTTCTTCTCATAAGCTTCACGCACTGTCATCTCTTTATTACTGTCAGGATCAACGATAAGTACACGTCTCTTCCTTGTCGAGTTCTTCTGCTGTGCTTTTTTCTTGTCATGAATAGGCAGGAGCACCAATCCTGTCTTTTTATCAATGGTGCAGCGGCTCTTTAGTTCCAAGTAAGTCAAATTGTCTTCAGTGTTTGGGTCGAAGAATCCCTTTGTGTCATCTCCTTCATCTTTCAAAATCTGGTTCATTCCTTGATCAAAGTAACCCCTTTGGTACGCCACATCAACATCAATTCGGTGGCTGTGTTTAGGGTCAATGATGCCACCACTAGCAATTTGAGCCTCCAGCAGGCGAATACCATGACCTTTCTCTATTAAACCACGCTCGATGGCTTCAAAAAGAGAGATCAACTTGTTGGTTCCAGGTTCTTTATATCCGGTTACTGCTTTCTCTGCAGACAGGAGCTTGTCTTTGAACTCCACACCTACAAGTCCTTTCTGACAGGCCTCCTCAACTGTGTAGTACTCATTATTAATGGGATCGATCACAAAACCAGAGGCGGCCTGGGCCTCAAGAAGCTCCAGGGTAGTGCCTGGTCGCAAAAGCCCATTCTTCATGGCTTGGTAGATAGGCAAGGTGCATTCACCAGCCTCATCGTAAATTCCAGCAATGCAGGTTGACCCTCGAAGATACGCCCGCAACCTGTGCTCAATCTCTTGGCTGGTAATCTTGCCCTCCCTCAGATGATTCATGTCTGAAGGTTCCAGCAATTTTGCATCCACCAGATCTGATACGTTAACTTCAGAACGTAGTCCTTGTACAGTAATTGGTTTCTCAGGAGCTGGAAGCAGAAGCAAGCCAGTGTTAAGATCAGCCTTGCATTGCTTCTTGAGGGTAACATAGCTGGCACGTAGATCAGTGTCTGGATCAATATAACAGTCTGGCTTGGCATTTAGAGCTTGATAGAGATCCTCATCAACAAGGTCACGGTCCATGGCAGTATCTTTGGGAAGATAGACACTAAGAATGGGATCAAGGATGCCTCCGGCTGCCTCCTGAGCTTGCAAGAGACGCAGAGTTGTTTCCCGGTCAATTATTCCCTTTTTCATGGCTTGGCTAACTGGCAAGAGCTTTGCAGTTTTGGGATCCCTAAACCCAACACATGCGGCCTCTGCAATCAACAGTTGTTTCTTGTCAGCTTCATCCACAACTCCATTCAAGCAAGCCTCCTCAACAGTCATCTTTGTATTAGCCTGGGGATCTATGATGTACCCTGTGGCAGCTTGAGCCTCCAACAACATGTTTCCACTCTTGTCTGAAATCAAGTTTTGTTTCTTAGCCTCGGTGAAGGTCATCTTGCCTTTAGGTCCTGCTGCCAGCCCTGCAATAGCTCCTGTCCCTTTCAGATTCAGCCTGATGTCAACAGACACATCCTGGACAGTCCTCTTGCCAGTCATCAATTGCTCAAATATCACCTTGTCAATCACACCACAGTCTTGCAGCTGTTGTGCCGTGATGTTCTTGCGGACACCTTCGAAGACCAAAGAGGAGGGATCAGTTTGGTCTGTTTGAGTATATTTGGTAGCACCATCTGGTTTCTGCTGCAGTCTCAGCAACTCCTGCTTCGAGTCTCGAAGTGCCTGCATCTCTGTTCTCTCTTGTTCAAAGTTCTGCAAGAGCAACCTGTAACGTTCTTCAGCTTCTCTGAGTTGAGTCCTCAGCCTCTCCAACTCAGTCCGGACAGAGCTAAACTGACTCTCCAGGCCGGAGCGTTCTGAGGCGTGCTGTCGAAGTTGCTCCTCATGAGATGCACACTTGGTCTTCCACTGCGTAAAATCCTTCTTGATCTTGTTGTTCTCCTCCTGCAGCTGTGATTTAAATCGCAGTTCTGACTCCAGTGAGAGTTTTATACGGGCTAGCTCATCTTCAAGCCTTTTCAAGCGCACAATTTCCTGTTCCATGGTTGTAATCTTCTTGAGGAGGTCATCCCTTTCTTGACTCAGGCTGCTGCACTGAGACTGGGACGTCTGGATTACAGAGGAAGTCTGCAACAAAAAGACAAATAAGAAACATAATGTTAAATATTATTCAAGAGTGATAATTCTGTATATGTTATTTAACAGATTTGTTGCAATCAGTGACCAATACAATAAAATACTGATTGATTCTCTAGTCAAGTACTAGAAATGAGATGAGCTTCTAAATCAAGGGTGTCCGATCCTGCTCATGGAAGACCTGCAGTATTTAGCACCAACATCCTTACTTAGAAGTTTGTAGTTAGTTTGAAGACCCTGATAATCTGGTTTAAATATGTATAACTTGGGTAGGAGCTAAACTCTGCAGTCAAGGGATCTCTAGGACCAGGCTCGGACACCTCTGTTCTAAAGCATGGGTTGCAAACCTTGCTCCTGGAGGTGAATTCAGTCCTGAATTTTTCCAAGTAATTCAGGATTTTAAGTAATCCCCAACACATTGATTAGCTGGCTGTGCTTCAACAAGTAATTTAGGATTTAAGCTATACTTTCCAACCTACCAGGAGCAGGGATTGATCCCTCTTTTATGGAGAGTCAATATAACAGAGCATGGCACAAATTAGGTCAAAGTGACATGCTTTAAACATGTGGTTGATCAGGTAAGCAATTAAGGCTTTTGCTGATAATGCAAAAGAAGCCAGCAGCGTGGAGGCTTGCAAAGGATGCAAGGCACATTAAAATGCAAATCAGATTATTCAGCAAGGTGTGGTGTGGAAACATGCACATTATGACATGCGAAATATGTCCTACTGATTATCTGACATATTTTTGCATGTCAAGACTAACTACAGTGCACAGTGTGACAGAGAGCGAGAGAGAGATCAGATGCATGCAGCTGGCTACACCTAAATCTAAGTATTGATGGATCTATTGAACTCAAGTTTCTAGTTATCCTAGTACCTCTCTGGCTTGTTTTTGTACATTTTCTATCTCCACTTGCAGTTTTTCTCTCTCTCGTGAGAGCTGCCGCATAAGCCTGTCATGCTCTGCACCGGCACGCTGGCTGGAATCAAGCTGTTTCTGCAAAGCTGTAATTTGCTCGGTCATTTCTCGATCTCCACGCTTTTTGTTTTTCAGCAACTCCTCGTGTTCAAGACGCACAGCGCGCAACTCCTCCTCTACCCGCTGGCGATCCTTGGTAAGAGTTTCCGTGAGCCTCTGCAGACGTTCAGTTTCACCAGAGCTTACGTTCAACGCACAACTCTTCTCTTCCATACTACGATGAAGAGCCTCGTAACGCTGATTGGAGTCTTGAACACGCCCCTGCTCCTGCGTCAGCTGTAGTTTCAGCGTATTTATCTCAGCTTTCAAAGCAGCAAGGTTCTGAGAAGTCACTTTATTCTCCTTCGAGGCACGGTCAAGAGCTTCCTGCAGTTGCTTGCATTTTTCATCCGCATGTTTAGCTCCGATATTCGTCTCTTCTTGGCTGGTGCGTAGTGTGGTGATCGTAGTAGTGTACTCTCGCATAGCTTGGCTACTTTTTTCAAGCTGCGACTCAGTTCTCCTGCGCTTGCCGGCCTCCTCTTCTGCTACTTGTCTCTGCTTCTCTAATTCACCTTCCAGCCTCTTCAGCTCCTCCTGGAGCTCTTGAATGCGAGCCTGTAGGCGTGCAATAGTCTGCTCAGACCTTCCCTTCTCAAGTGCATGTGCCTCCAGCTCCACCCGAATGAGGCTCAACTCCCGGTGGGAGGAGCGAAGTTGCACTAGCTCCTCATTAGTGGTTTCATTCTTAGATTTCAGAACAGCCAAATCCCCTTCCAGTCTTCGCTTATCGGTCTCTAAAGATCTTTTCAGACGTCGCTCTTCTTCAAAGTTACGAGTGAGACGATTGATCTCATTAATTTTATCCTGAAGTGTCCGACTTGAGCTTTCCTGCACCTCCCTCATTTTGTTGTCTCCTTCACGTTTCTGGCTCATCATCACCTGAATTTGGGACTCAAGCTCGTGCCTCTTTCTGGATTCCTCAGTATTTAAAGCAGTGAGTCTCTTTACCTCCTCTTCCAGAATTCTCCTCTGCGCCTCCTCCTGGCTGAGAGAAATACGAAGCCTCTTCAGCTGCTCCTTTAATTCACTAGATTCTCCCTCTAATCTTTCAAACTCCAGACTCATGGCAGCCGAATCACTTTCTTTTTCCTGCGAAAGCTTCTGCATGCTGGATTGCGCTACGAGGATTTGAGACTCGTAGGTTTGTTTTACCTCTCGAATCTCTGTGCTGTGCTCCTGTCTTACCTTAGCTAGCTCTGTTTGCGCCTCCTTTATGCGCCGAGCCTCGTCTTCCAACTCCTTGCGCAGACGCTCCAACTCTCGGTTCCGTTCGGATACGGTTTTCTCCAGCTCCATTTTAGCCCAGCTAGCTTGTTCCAGTTCCTTGAGTTTCTTGCGCATAGTTTCATCATGTTCTTCTTGCAGAAATGTGTAGCGCTCTTCCACGATTTTCTTTTTTCTCTCCATGTCCTCCAGTTGGAGTTTCAGGCGACGTACTTCCTCTGTAAGCTCCTCGAGGCGGTCTTTAGAGGAGTCCAGGCTCTCCTGAGTGGCCATGCACTTCATGGTTTCAGTCCTTTTCACCTCTTCCAGAGAGAGTAGGTGGCTTTGGGAATTGTTCAGCTCTTGCTGGTATTGCAGAAGAGCATCCTGTAAAGATGCATTGTTGGCAGTTTGGTCTTTGATGGCATCCCTCAGTTGCTCAAGCTCCTCCTCCAGCAGCTCAATTCTGGTATTTCGTATCTGCAGAAAACACATTGTGAGATTTGTTAATTCTTTATTATTATTATTATTATTATTATTCAAAAATATATGCAGTACTCAGCATAATGGAGTACAACCCATTTTGAAGATTAATGTTTTTCTCAATTTCTCAGTGAAAATAGGCAATGTATTTTGGTGCATTTAAACAAAACAGATTTATTAAACAGAAATGTTTATGACAATATTATAGCCACCAAACATATTTAGAAATTTAAGGATAATACAATTAAATTCAAGCTAAATATTGCAACAACAAAAAATTACAACCTACAAAATTTTAACAAAATTAAAAAAATTTTAAATTGTGTTTAATATTTTTCTGTAACATATAAATTTGGGTTTCCCAGTGATGGGTTGCAGCTGGAAGGGCATCCTCTGTGTAAAACATATGCTGGATAAGTTGGCGGTTCATTCCGCTGTGGCGACCCCAGATTAATAAAGGGACTAAGCCGAAAGAAAATGAATGAATGATTTACCTTTTAAAAATAAAAAAGGCTATAGAAATTAAATTAATAAATTTTTTTAAATATGCAAACTCATTAATTCATTTTCTTTTCAGCTTAGTCCCTTTATTAATCAGGGGTCACTACAGCGGAATGAACCGCCAACTTATCCAGCATATGTATTACGCAGTGGATGGCCTTTCAGCTGCAACCCATCACCGGGAAACCGGACGACGCGACAGCCACTTTTCCCATTGAACGCCTTGAGGGCAAAACGCCTGCTTGACGGGCACAAACTGTCGCAAAAGACTGCTGAAATTGGAGCCTTGACATGCGCAGAAGGACTGTCTGATGGAGCCAGAGGAGGAGCCGCGAAAATGAGCGGAGTCGAGCTTCCAACCAAACGCTTTATGTAAAATCAACCACGCCCCCCGAACTGCTCAGCATGCGTTTGCTGTCATATCAACACAAATGGTTGTAATAACGTTAACAAATGTGAGGGTTTTATATAATGAAGATTCAATCGCGCCAGCTCCGGGCAGCAGCGCATAACCTACTCGCGGCGTCGCTGGCTGATTCCGGCTCGCATGCGGCAGCGCCTGCTCGCTCGGCCGCCGCATCTGGCTCAATTGACTCGGGCTGGAATCAGGCAGTGAGTCCAGGCATCTGGAGTAGGTCCAGCAGAGGTAGTCAGTCTGAGGGATAAGTCTCCGGCAGGCAAGAACTGGCCCCACTGTATTTTGCTATCTGGGTGGCTAGGCGTGTATTAGCAGACTAATAAAGCCCGAAAAAAAGCCCTGACCTTAGCGAATAAACAGTGTTCCACCAGATCATGTATGTCAGAAACAGTAGTTTACTGCTGAACTCATTTTGTCATGGTAAAATAACACAGAAATCGAGTAATAACACTTCAGTCTCCTGCCGAAGCTCAGACGCGCTGCTTTGAGAAACTGTCAATCACCGCTGTCAATCACGATGACACGCCCAGCATTAAATTACTGCTAAAAACAAACTGTTTACAAAAATGAAGATCTGCACCTATTTCAGCACAATAACCAGTGCCTTAATCCACCAGAACTATCTTTCGGGACATTTTATTGCAAGTGTAATAATTTTTTTTATTTGGGCTCAAGTCTCATTCATTAACACGGAGGAGGCGGGCTTTCTGACTTGTACTGCAGCCAGCCCCCAGGGGGCGATCTAACGGCCGAGACCTTCACTCAAACGCAGGCTTGCGGCACACTTGCTACGGACAATTTTAGCTTACCCTATTCCCTTATACCACGTGTTTGGACTGTGGGGGAAACCGGAGCACCCGGAGGAAACCCACGCCAACATGGGGAGAACATGCAAACTCCACACAGAAACGCCAACTGACCCAGTTGGGATAATGCAACCCACTGCGCCACCGCATCGCCACCTCAAGTGATTTAATAACTACTTAATTATTTAAATATTTATTATTTATTTATTTTAATATTTATTATTTATTTTTAATAATCATTTATTTATTTCACAGTTTTATTCATAGTTATAATAAATTCAAGCGTTTTAATTACTATTTAATAAAACTATTTCAAAATATTTATAGTTTATTTTAAGATTTATTATTAACTTATTTTAATATTTATAATTTATTTTAATATTTATAATTTATTTTAACATTTATAATTTGTTTATTTTAATATTTATAATTTATTTATTTCACTGTTTTATTCATAGTGATAGTCAGATCACATTAAAATGACTTGCTTCAGTATTTTGTGGTGTTTTTTGTACAGATATCAGTTCATGTGATATAATTACTATTTATTTATTTATTTATTTATTTTAACATTTATTTACTTTAATATTTATAATTTTATTAATTTTAATATGTATTATTTAGTTTTGATAAATATTTATTTATATATTGCATTTTTATTCATAGTTATTATTAGTTCAAACAATTTAGTTACTATTTATTTATTTTAATAATTATATTTTATTTAAAAATGTATTATTTACTTATTTAAATATTCAAATTAATTCGTATATTTATTATAGATTTCTCTTTTATTAATGATTATTTATTTACTTTAATTTTAAATTATTATAATATGTTCTATTTAATTTCATATTTATTGTTTAATATTTATCAATTAATTTATTTATTTCACTGTTTTATTCATAGTGATAATCAGATCACATTTAAATGACTTGCTTCAGTATTTTGGGGTGTTTTTTGTTCAGATATCAACTCCAGTGATTTAATTACTATTTATTACTTTTTGTTTAAATACTTATAATTTTATTTATTTAAATATTTATTATTTATTTACTTAACAATTTATTATTTTATTATAAAATTTATAATTTACTTATTTAAATATTTGTAATTTATTTTAATATTTATTTTTTATTATTATTATTCATTTATTTATTTTTACAGTTTTATTCATTGTTATAATCAGTTCAAGCGATTTAATTATTATTCATTTATTTTAATATTTATTATTTACTACGGACAATTTTAACTTGCCCTTCCAGCTGCAACCCATCACTGGGAAACATCCAAACACACTCATTCACACACTCATACACTATGGACAATTTGAACTTACCCAATTCCCCTATAAATCATGGTTTTGGACAAACCTTTACAATTAAATAATGAAGCTTTAATATGCTGTTTGCTGACTTGAGTAACAATTAAAGTCGTCATTTAAAGCGTTCATGTTTCGACTAATCCCCATTCAAGTGTTACCTTCAGCTCCTCCATGTTTTTCTGGGATGCCAAAAGAAGTTTGTAGTAATCGCTTGAGCGGGTGAGCAGTTCCAAGTAGTGCGCATTTAAAGAAGACACCTGAAGGACACAAAAACGCATTATAATAAAGCAGCATTGTGATAAAACTAATGCCTGTGGAGTTTTTAATGTCTCCGCTGTACCTCTTCAGCGATGGAGGATGATGGAGACTGCAGAACGGTCCTCTTGATCGGGATGTTGAGCAGAGTCTCCAGTCCAGCGCTGTAAGTGGCCAACTCAAGCTCGTAATTCTACACAAAAACACGTCACGGGATTAACCATTTATATTTAAAACAGTGCTTTTTACACTGAAAACGCTTAATATAGTCTGTGTGGACTAGAAGTTGCTGACTTTTATTCCATTTCAATAATGTACAGTCAGAATAATTCGCCCTCTTGTACATTTTTCCCCCCATTTTTTGTTTAATGGGGAGCAGATTTCTTCAACACATCTCTAAACATAATAGTTTTAATAACTCATCTGTAATCACTGATTTATTTTCTCTTCAACATGATGACAGCACATAATATTAGACTAGATATTCTTCAAGACACTAGTATTCAGCTTAATGTGAGATTTAAAGGCTTCACTAGGGTAATTAGGGTAAAGTTAGGGTAATTAGGCAAGTCATTGTATAACAGTGGTTTGTTCTGGAGACAATCCAAAACTAATATTGCTTAAGGGGGCTAATAATATTGACCTTAAAATGGCTTTAAAACATACCTGTCAACCCTCCCGTTTTTCCCAGGATTCTCCCGTATTTTACTCGTTCTGTCCCGCTATCATCCCGTAAAAGTATGTTCCCGTATTTTCAGTCTTTCTCTGAACAGTCGAGCCTCCCTATGCGCAATTCATACTGCCGAACCACCAGGGGTCGCCCCTTGCTCTAATACGTGAATTATCTGTGCTTTGGCTTTGTTTAGGAATGAAAGCACTTATAAATAAATATTAAAAACGGCGCGATTCCATTTCCTTTAGATTACAGGTGCCGTCGCCGATCCTATACAATCCTCAAAACAGTCATATAATGGTGCATGACTGTCAGCTGACGAGCTCAATAGTGATAAACAGACGCTGTTTCCCAAACGGATTCTGTACACGTGATTTGAAGCGGAGAGAAAGTCTGGCTTTTGGGTGCATGTTTAAACAGACAGACACACATAATTAATAATAATAACATATAAGGATGTCGATCTTGGTGTTTTTTTTAAACACAACTAATTTTGTCTTAAATGAGCATAAAAAGTTAGGAAAGCAATCAAATGCTTTCATTATGACATTAGATGTGTGCATTTTTAAAGTGACACCTCTTATTTAATGTAATAAAAAATCTTATTAAATGCGAGATTCTTTCGTTGCTCTCTAATCAGAGTGTGTAAGTTATACAGTGGAGAAACGACAATGAGTTTGATAGCTTGATTGTATTTCATTATAATAGCCATTCATTTTAATAAGCTGAACTGTTTGCTAATGCATTTGCTGCTAATGTAGATATTTATTTTTCTTTTGTTAATAATTTTAAAACATATTACAGACCATTAACTGTTTATTTACAATGAAACAGCTAAAAATGAACATATTTAGTAATTTGGGGATTTTTTTAAGGGGGGGGGGGGTGTTGGGGAATCCCTTGTTATGGTGGGCATATCCCTTTTTTCCACATCCCAATGTTGACAGGTATAGTTTAAAACAATCAAAATAAACCAAATAAGACTTTCTCCAGAAGAAAAAATATTATAGGAAATACTGTGAAAACTTTCTGAATCTTTTAAATATCATTTGGGAAAGAAGGGCTAAATCATTTTGACACCAGCTGTATATCCAACTAAAAATGAATAGTGAAAAGGGGGCGGGGCTTTATGTTAGAGCCCCGCCTCTCATCTATCACTCTCAGCAGACTAATGGTTGGAGGGTGTGGCTAAGCATATTTCAGCCAATCAGAGTCATTAGAGATAGACCGCTGTTACAGATGAGCCGATTTGGATTATACTAATCCGCTTGTTAAGTGGTGACGTGTTTGTGACGTATGTAATACTGTTTCCGAGTCCAAGCCGCCATTCATTTGAGTGGAGAAATCATTCGTTTATGATCGCGATTTATCCCTATCACACATTAAAGTTAATTTTATATAAAATCATAGTGTACACAACAATCTCTGGGCTTGCTGCATCACAAATACCAAAATGTAACAATTTATAAAAAAATTATCACTTTCTGGCCATCGGATATTAGGCATGGACATATATACTGCGATCGTGATTTTTGAAAGCATTAAATCACTTTGTAAACGTTTATTATTACCATTTCATGAGTCTCCCCATTCAGTTGAATAGAGCGCTAGGACCCGGAAGCAGCTTGACGTCACACTTAACAAGCGGATAAAACAACTTTAATTGTTCACTTTAAGACTGAAAATGCAAAATAAACAATGTAAATTTGAATTTTAATGCCGACTGTAATTAAATGTTTATTGTCAATGAACTGTTTTTAAATACTGTTATCAAAACATTACAACAAAAAAACATCTCTATATCATTTATGGAAAACTTTTTAGCTGGATGATCTAATCCAAATCTATTTGCAAATTTCAAAACGTTCCAAGAACTCATTAACATTCCCTATTATCTTTCTAAACTGATCAAATTGAATGTTGAGTCGAAACAAGCCAGATCCGGCAACTCTGACATCTGATCCGGAACCTCATTTTACCGATCCCCCTCCTCACACTCTTCCGCGACTCCCCAACCCTCTTCACTTTCGTCTGCAACACCCACCAAACACCCCACCCCCCCCACCCCCCATTTTTGACACTCTGACCATACTGTCCCCAGTTTACACAGAGAATGTGTTTTGTAGTGGTTTTAAACTGTTGTTTAGAGACCAGAGAACAGAGATTGTCAGAATGTTACAGCAACATTCTCTCAACGTGATGAGCAAACATTTTTCTAGTACCATTACAGTCTGTGTGAAACAGTTGCTGCAGACTTTTAATTTCAGTATGATGATGTATTTCAGACTGAAATGGAATATTAAGTAGGGGCGTGGCTTATAGTTAAGCTTGGCCTCTCATCCGACACTCTCAGCAAACTGATAGTTGGAGAGGTGTGGCTAAGCATATTTCAGCCAATCAGAAGGACCAACGTCATCAGAGCAAAACCAGATGGTTAAATTTTGGTCGGAGATTAACAAAACAAGCTAAATTTTTTTGTGTGTGCACATTAATTAGCACTGATTAAGTGTCCAACCTTAAAGCGAACCTATTTACCTCTTTTTACAAGCGGTAAAATAAGTCTCTAGAGTGCATGTGTTGTTTCAGCTCAAAATAATGATCTCTAGCTCTCTGAAACTGACCCTTTTAGGCTTCGATCCAAATTGTGGTGTTTTGGTGACTGTCGCTTTAAATTCAAATGAGATTGTGCTCTTTTCAGAAGAGGGCGGAGCTACATAGCCTGTGTGTCAGCATAGTGGCAGATTCAAAACTATAATGGACAGACGGCTGCTTCTCACTCAGGGCTGCTGTTTATGCTAATGAGGGAGAGATGGGCACTAGTGGGCGGGGCTTTCCCCCTCTGATGACACATACAATTATTGTCAATGTCAATCAAAGTGTTTCTGCAGACGGTTTTTGTCAAGTGTGATTTTAAAAAATACAATTAATTCATTTTGACTATTAGAAGCTGGCTGTATTCACACACTGCTGACACACAACTGTGTTTAAACCCCTTATAAAGGTGATCTTTCCATAATAGGTCCCCTTTAAGATGAACACTGTACATTTTGATGACATGTGGACCTAAATCATCACATCATCATCAGTTGAAGATGATTTATGAATAAACAGAAAGAATACCTTGATGGCACTGATGCAGGTTTCTCCGTCTTTGTGCACCGTCTCCATCAGCTCTCTCTTCGCCTTTATATCAGAGTTTAATGCCTGCACACATTATAAAGAAGCACAAATGTTCATTAAGACTTTATTTAATCAAACAGATCTGCTCAAGTAACAGGACCTGTGTGGATACTAAAAATATCTGGGTTATTATTATTTGACTAAATCCATGAAATACTTATTCCTTTCACTGGTTTTTAGTGCATTCAATGCAATACATTTCTCTTTTGTTTAATAACTTAATTTTTATCTTAAAATAAAACAAATATGCTAAAATATATATTAATAATAATAATAAATAATAGAAAATAATACAAGAAACTTTTCTGTTGAATATTTTTTCATGTTTATTTTATTTGGTATTTATTTATTTATTATTTGAATATTTATTTCTTCATTTTACAGTTTTATTCATAGTGATAATCAGATCACATTAAAAAGACTTTCTTCAGTGTTTTGTTTAGTGTTTTTGTTCAGATATGAGCTCAAGTGATTTAATTACTGTTTATTGATTTTAAAATGCATTATTTTTTATTTTAATATTTATAATTTATTTTTAACAGTTGTTATTTATTTCTTTAATTATTTAATTGACTGTTTTATTCATAGTGATAATCAGATCACATAAAGTGACTTGCTTTAATGTTTTTTGTTACGATATCAGCTCAAGCCTTTTCATTAATTATGATATTTATAATTTATTTATTTCAATATTGATTATATAGCTATTATCAGTTCAATCGATGTAATTACTATTTATTTATTTTAATATGTATCTTTTATTTATTTTTATTCATAATTTATTAAAATATTATTGTTTTATCTTTTATTAATCATTATTTACTTTAAAATGTACGCTTTATTAATTATATTATGTATTATTTACTTATTTTAATATTTATTTTTTAATAATTATCAATTTATTCATTTATTTCACTGTTTTATTAATTGCGATAATCAGATCGCATTAAAATGACTTGCTTTAGTATTTTTGGGGTGTTTTTTATTACAATTTTTCAGTTTGAGCGACTTAATTACTATTTATTAATTTATTTAAATATTTAATATTTATTGTAATATTTTTGTTATTAACTTTAGTATTCATTACTGATTTAATAAAAAAAAAAATACTTATTTCACAGTTTCATTCATAGTTGTAATCAGTTCAAGCCATTTAATTACTATTTATTAATTGATTTATTTTAACATTTACAATTTATTTATTATAATATTTATAATTTATTTATTTTAATATTTATTATTTAATAATTATCAATTTATTTATTTTACAGTTTTATTCACAGTGATAATCAGATCACATTAAAATGGCTTGCTGTGTTTTTTGTCAGATATCAGCTCCAGTGATTTAATTACTATTTATTTATTTTAACATTCATTATTTATTTATTTTAAAGTTTATTTTTTATTTATTTATTTCAACATTTATTATTCATTTTAATATTTATAATTTATTGTAATATTTATATATTTTTATTCATTATTATTTATGTATTTCACCTGTTTATTCATAGTTATAATCAGTTCAATTAATTTAATTGCTATTTATTTATTTTAACATTCATTATTCCATTATTATAATATTCCTAATTTGTTTATTTTAATATTTAAATAAAAAATTATTTTGAATAATTATTATTTATTTATTTATTTCACTGTTTTATTCATAGTTCTAATCAGTTAAAGTGATTTAATTCCTATTTATATATTTAACAATTTATTATTTATTTATTTATTTATTTATTTTAATAGTTATTTATTTTAAAAAATATTCATTTATTTATTTAACCATTTTATTCATAGTTATAATCAGTTCAAGTAATTTAATTACTATTAATTTATTTATTTTAACATTTATTATGTATTTATTATTAATATAATATTTTTAGTTTATTTATTTTAATATTCATTTTTCATAATTATTTTAATTTTTTTAATTTTTTTTTTATTATTTATTTTTTTCATAGTGTCAGATCACATTAAAGTGACTTGCTTTAGTATTTTGAGGTATTTTTTGCTCGAATGCATGTTTATCAGACTCACCTTCTGCTGGTTCAGTAGTTGAGTGTAAGCTGCGCTGTCCTCCATCTTGACGGAGTGTTGTGAATCAATCTGTTTCTGGGTTTCATCAATCCAGCCGCTCAGCTGAGAACTGGACTGCATGTATCGCTTCAGCTGCGGCAGGTAAGAGTCCAGATCAACCAGCCTGAAAAACAACGTCAATAATAATACATTACAATACTGCTGAATGCTTGATTCTGATTGGCTGACGAACATTCTATGGTGTGCTATTATTTTTAGTTAAAGGCACAGCTAAAGTGGGCTACTCCTTTTCCCAGGCCTCCTTTTCAATATCAAAGGATTCAAAGTATAAAAGGACTTGATTTTTTTATTGACTTGAGGTATACTAGTAAAAGATTTGCAAGAAAGTTGAATTACACAAACAGGTCATAATTCATTATTGTTCAAGTGAATCAGTAATAAGTAAATCAAATTCCAATGAGTGAATTTGAATTTGAGTAAGTGAATCATTTACTAGAAACTCTACACTCTATAGATATAGAAATAGATCATTGAAATCAGTGAATAATCTACTGGACACTCACTTTGAATGAATCATTTGAATCAGCAAATGGAAAATTTGAATCAATGAATAATCTACCGGAGACTAATTTCTGAATGGATCGTTTGAGTCAGTGAATCATTTACTGGGCACTTACTCTGAATGGATCATTTGAATCAGTGAAAAATCTACCAAACTCTCACTCTAAATGCATTTTTTGAATCAGAGAATAATCAACCAGAGGCTCACTCTAAATGAATCATTTGAATCTGCGAGTAATCTATCGGAGACTCACTCTCAACGAAACGTTTGAATCAGCGAATAATCTACTAGATACTCACTCTAAATTAATAATTTGAGTGAGCAAATAATCTAGCAAAGACTCACTCTGAATGAATCATTTGAATCAGTGAATAATGTACCAGAGACCCACTCTTAATGAATAATTTGAATCAGTAAATAATCTACCAGAGACTCACTCTGAATGAATTATTTGAATCAGTGAATAATGTACCAGAGACCCACTCTTAATGAATAATTTGAATCAGTAAATAATTTACCAGAGACTCACTCTTAATGAATCATTTGAATCAGCGAATAATCTACCAAAGACTGACTTTCAATGAATCATTTGAATCAGTGAATAATGTACCAGAGACCCACTCTTAATGAATAATTTGAATCAGTAAATAATCTACCAGAGACTCACTTTTAATGAATTATTTGAATCAGCGAATAATCTACGGTAGGCTCACTCTAAATGAATCATTTAAATCAGGGAAAAATCTACCATAGGCTCACTCTAAATGAATCATTTGCATCTGGAAATAATCTACTGGAGACTCACTCTCAATGAATTGTTTGAATCAGCGAATAATCTACCAGAGACTCACTTTTAATGAATCATTTGAATCAGCAAATAATCTACCAGAGACTCACTTTTAATGAATCACTCGAATCAGCGAATAATCTACCAGAGACTCACTTTTAATGAATCATTTGAATCAGCGAATAATCTACCAGAGACTCACTTTTAATGAATCATTTAAATCAGCGAATAATCTACCAGAGACTCACTCTCAAAGAATCATTTGAATCAGTAAATAATCTACCTGAGATTCACTCTGAATGTATCGTTTGAATCAGTGAATAATCTACCGTAGGCTCACTCTAAATGAATCATTTGCATCTGTGAATAATCTACTGGAGACTCACTCTACATGAATAGTTCGAATCAGTGAATAATTGACCAGAGGCTCACTCCAAATGAATCATTTGAATCAGTGAATAATCTACTAGAGACTCACTCTTAATGAATCATTTGAATCAGCGAATAATTTAGCAGAGACTCACTCCAAATGAATAATTTGAATCAGTGAATAATCTACCAGTCTCACTCTCAATGAATCATTTGAATCAGTGAATAATCTACTAGAGACTCACTCTTAATGAATCATTTGAATCAGCGAATAATTTAGCAGAGACTCACTCCAAATGAATCATTTGAATCAGTGAATAATCTACTAGAGACTCACTCTTAATGAATCATTTGAATCAGCGAATAATTTAGCAGACTCACTCCAAATGAATAATTTGAATCAGTGAATAATCTACCAGTCTCACTCTCAATGAATCATTTGAATCAGTAAATAATCTACCAGAGGCTCACTCTAAATGAATAATTTAAATCAGTGAATAATCTATCGTAGGCTCACTCTCAATAAATCATTTGAATCTGTGAATAATCTACTGGAGACTCCCTCTACATGAATCATCATGACTCACTCTCAAGGAATCATTTGAATCATTTACTGGAGACTCACCCTGAATAGACAATTTGAATAAGTGAAGTAAAAAGTACAACATTAGGTTTTGTAAAGAGAAGTAAAAGTTTCCTAAATAAATGTTCAGATCCACTCAGTATATACCCTTAATTACACAGTAGTGATGTAAAAGCAGTGTGTTACAGTCCAGCAGTATAATAGAGCGTGTCTGACCTGTTGTTGATCTGAACGTGGATGCGTTTCCAGCGGTCGGACAGCTGATGGACATGATCTGCGTACTGCGTCAGGTTGATGATGCACTGGTAGCGGCCCTGATCCCTCTGATCATTAACCTTCTGCATCTGATTCAGATCCACCACCAGAGAATTCAGCAGATCCTGCTTCTGCTCCAGATCACTGCGCATGCTCTGCGGTGACACACAATAACAGATGCCATTAACCTCATGGAATCTTTGCATTGAAGATGTAACATAGTTCTGACAATATAACACTCCACGATCACATTTTAGAGCTCAGATCTGGCCCAAAAACTTAAACGCGACCCTACCCGAGCCCGACCCGGTCCGACATTAACTGTAAATATCAGCCTGAGCTCGATTTAAACCTGACTATTTTTTAATACGTGGGCCGTTACAACAGACGTTCTCAACTACAATTCTGAGATGTTTGAACTACAGAAATGAGCGCAGGTTTATCGTAATGAACAATGCAACAATGATGAAGCATGTAAACTGCATTGTTTGTTTATTCAGAATGGATCGTAACAAAAGAGGACACTGAAGGCCGATTATCATCCTTTCTGCCATGGCCAGCCTGCTTCATGTGTCTGTTCATCGTGGAAGTCTCCGTTTTCTTGCTATGACCTCTTTCACATTGCATGTGCAAGCAGAGCACTTCCTCGTCCATGTTAACAGATTAGCGCGATAGTGTTGACGCTGGGTGTATTTCTGCCGATGCTCAGGCTCAATTAAGCTGACAGTGCATTGGTAATGACCAAAAACACATTGAATGACAGTAAAAAGTGTCGATTTTGCCCAATAAACGCATTGATACATGTATTGATATATTTACGCATTGATATATGTATTCTCTACATACCCACTGCGCACACACACACACAGCTTCAGCTCTCTGCTTGCAGTGTGATGATGTGCCAGTGGAGGAGGTGCTGTTGCAGGAGCTAGAGCATTGCTGTGCATGACACGCGTTGCTTAGGCTGACATTGCTACAATATTTGTATAATATTTCTTATAATGGCATAGCTCTGCACCTAATTATACAGAAAAGTATAAAGTCGGAATTGTGACTTAATAAATCGAAATTCTGACTTAATAACTTGCAATTCTGGCTTTAAAACTTGGAATCGCGACTTTATAACTCAGTATCGCGACTATAACTCGTAATTCTGACTTTATAACTTGGAATCGCAAATTTATAACTCGGAATTTAGACTTTATAACTTGGAATTTGGACTTTACGACTCGGAATTGCGAATTTATAACTCGGAATCGCTACTTTCTATCTCAGAACTGTGACTTTAACTCGGAATTTGGACTTTACAACTTAGAATCGCGACTTTATAACTCAGAATTGTGACGTTATAACTCGGAATCGTGACTTTATAACTCAGAATTGTGACTTTATAATTCGGAATTTGGACTTTACAACTTAGAATTGTGACTTTATAACTCGGAGTTGCGGCTTTATAACTCAGAATTTGGACTTTACAACTCGGAATTGTGACTTTATAACTCAGAATTGTGACTTACAACTTGGAATCGCGATTATAACTCGGAATTCTGACTTTATAACCTGGAATTCTGACTTTACAACTCGGAATTCTGACTTTATAACTCAGAATCGCAACTTTATAACTCGGAATTGTGACTTTATAATTCGGAATTTGGACTTTACAACTTGGAATTGCAACTTTGTAACTCAGAATTTAGACTTTACAACTTGTTATTGTGACTTTATAACTCAGAATTGTGACTATTACTTGGAATTTAGACTTTACAACTCGGAATTGCGACTTTACAACTCAGAATTGTGACTTTATAACTCAGAATTGCGACTTTATAACTCGCAATTTAGACTTTACAACTCGGAATTCTAACTTTACAACTCGGAATTGTGACTTTACAACTCGGAATTGTGACTTTACAACTCGGAATTCTGACTTTATAACTCAGAATCGCGACTATAACTCGGAATTCTGACTTAAGAATTCAGAATTGTGACTTTAAAACTCAGAATTGCGACTTTATAACTCGAAATTTAGACTTTATAACTCAGAAATGCGACTATAACTTGGAATTCTGACTTTATAACTCGAAATTTGGACTTTATAACTCAAAATGGCGATTTTACAACTCGGAATTGTGATTTAATAACTCGGAATTCTGACTTTATAAATCAGTAGCGGGAACGAGCTTCCATACAATTAGGCTAATTAAGTAATGACAAAAAAAAAAAAAAAAGCTTGATCACAGCCTGGCCCAAAGAAAGTGGCAGGAAGAATCTAAACTCATTTATCGCATCTACTTTACGCGCAATCGCATTTACTTCTTTGGTTTTATTTCAAAGGCAACCTACTACGCTAAAATCTCTTTTATAAGGGGTGTAAATACTGTTGTGTGGCAGCAGTGTAATATATAACCAGACTCTAAAGGCAAAAATTAATTAAATGTATTATTTTCTAATCAGACCTATTTAAAGGGTCAAAGCTGACATCTGATGATCAACAGTAAAAATGACACATTTTACCTCTTAATGCCATAAGGGAAAATAAGCAACAATAAAACATGCAGGATTATATGCTGTCATGGCTTTGCAATAAGAAAATGTGATTATAATGGAAGTCAACGGGGCAAAAACAGCACCAACATAACCAAAGGGGAGTCAATCTGAACAATACACAAGGGTTAAAACTGAGTAAAACTGACCAGCAGCACTTTCTGGTATCTCTGCACTTCCTCCGGGTCTGAAGACGCGGTTTCTTTCTCCGTCAGTCGAGCTTCATAAACCTTCACCACGTCTTCAGCTTTCATCATATCCTTCAGCAGAGACTTCACTGAGTCTAGCCTGAAACACACACACACACACACACACACGCACGCACGCACGCACACACCTTTAAATATTTCTTTAAATGATGTTGAAGCCGCGTTGACCATTACAGCCAATCGCAGCCTTTTCTGTTGAGCGTGTGATCAATCATAGGCGTTTAAGGATGCGTTCAACAATTAGTTTATTTGCTATGAATCAGGGGTCTTAAACTCGAGGCCCGCGGACAAATGTGAGGAGCTTGTGGGGGTGGGTGGATGGGTTGAAAGGTAAGGTGTAGATCGCAGACGAAAGTGAATGGGGGGGGGGGGGGTCGTAAAAAAAAGTGAAGAGCTGGAATATGTCCCGAATAAAAGTGTTCTCTAATATACTTCTCTAAGTACTCATTCTATTAGGCAATGCAGTGGCGCAGTAGGTAGTGCTGTCGCCTCACAGCAAGAAGGTCGCTGGGTCCATCCTCAGCTCAGATGGCGTTTCTGTGTGGAGTTTGCATGTTCTCCCTGCGCTCGCATGGGTTTCCTCCGGGTGCTCCGGTTTCCTCCACAGTACAAACACATGCGGTACAGCTGAATTGGGTAGGCTAAATTATCCGTAGTGCGTGAATGTGTGTGTGGATGTTTCCCGGAGATGGGCTGTAGCTGGAAGGGTATCCGCTGTGTAAATATGTGCTGGATAAGTTGGCGGTTCATTCTGCTGTGGCGACCCCGCATTAATAAAGGGACTAAGCCGACAAGAAAATGAATGAATGAATGACTCATTCCATTAAAATTTGTTTTATGGTTAAAATATTTTCACACAAGTCACAAACTGGATAAATATGAGTGCGGGTTGAGTCTTGAGTGCTTTAAGTCAGTGGTTCCCAACCTTTTTCTTAGGGCCCCCCCCCATGAGCATATACAAACATTGGAGCCCCCCCACCATTAAAATATACACTCACGCACACACATATGTACTATATATATATATATATATATATATATATATATATATATATATATATATATATATATATATATATA